TTTCTATGTTTTAAAATTCAAGATCATATATTTATTACTTTTAAGGTCACCTGAGTAAACTCAGGTGACCTATTGCTATCTGTTTTCGTCCGTCGTCGTGCGTTGTCCGTCGTCCATCGTGTGTTAACATTTGAACATTTTCAGCTTCTTCTCTGCAACCACTGAACCAATTTCAACCAAATTTGGCACAAAGCATCTATGGGTGAAGGGGAACAAAAATTGTGAATTTCATGATCCCTGCCCCCCAGGGGCCTGAGGGGTGGGGCCAAAACCACTAAAATTAATGCAATCTTTAAAAATCTTCTTCTTTACTCCTGGACATCAAGCAGTCAAACTGTTTGCATGATTGTAATCAGCAATGAGTCCTCTACCAAAATTGTGAAATTCATGGCCCTGGGGTCAGGGGTTCTAGTTCTAGGGCGGGGCTAAATATGTAGGTAGTGAAAATGCATTATTTCTTTGAAAATCTTCTTCTCTGCTCCTGGGTATTAAATAAACCAACTAAGTACAAAGTTATGATGAGCAAGAGTGCCTCTTCCAGATTTGTGAATTTTATGGCCCCAGGGTCAGGGGTTCTTGTGTTAGGGCGGGGCTCTATTGATTATATGGTGAAAATACATGAATTCTTTGAAAACCTTCTTCTCTGCTCCTGGGTATCAAATAAACTAACTAAGTACATAGTTATGATGAGCAAGAGTGCCTCTACCCAAATTGTGAATTTTATGGCCCCAGGGTCAGGGGTTCTTGTTTTAGGGTGGGGCTCTAATGATTATATATAGTGAAATGCATGAATTCTTTGAACATCTTATCCTTTGCTCCTGGTTAATATACTAATGATCTAATTACATATTTAAGGCCAGGATTTATTTTATTTTCAGTTTTACAAACCCTCCGCTCAAGGTTTTGAATTTTCAGAAAAAAAATAAAAAAAATTCTTTCCGATGTCAAATTTGAGTCGGGATCGACATTTCAAATTTACGAACTCGCACTTCCGGTTTTGAGATGAAACGGCGGGTAAATAAAGCTAGAACTGAGAAGACACCTTGGTTTAGTGTAAAATTCATCGATACGAGTGCCATTCAAAACGTTTCACCCGTTCAAAGGACAAATAAAATGCTAACGACTTTTTTGCACAATGACATGCTGGTGAGATAATTATGTATTCGTTTCAAAAGTATCTGTCTGTAAATTATTTTCCTCCCCCAGGTTTTAAACTGCCCGTGGTAGCTATTGCATATTGCCAGCGACATTGTTTAGGTCTCTGTTATAGCTTACAGTCAAAGCATCATTCAATAGAAAATGTTGCTTATGCATCAGATGTAATGAATAAAACTAGGAGAAGTTAAGTCCATTTGAGGAAGAAATAAACAATAACCTGAAGAAATTTAAAAAAAAAATCAACTATTAAAAGGCAAGAATATACAAATATATACAGGTATGTAGTATCATCTGTATCAGCCAGAAAAATTATTTTACACTTAATTGAAAAAAAGTTCACCCTACTCGTCAATACTCCCTGTCTGTTTTATGATAGGAATTATAATTTTAGGCTTCAAGTAAATTTTAGAACAATGTCTACACATTCACCTAACACATATTCAAAAAATGAAGATATATTGAAAGACTTTTAAAGAATTGATTTTTAGAAATATATTTTGACCAACATCACAAAATTTATATAACTGGCCCAGACTGGCAGATGATGAAATAAGCAATTAAATGTTCTACTTTCCTATTGTAAGCATTATGTGTCCAGTGGTAAGGGGCCTATTAGAATAGCATAAAAAAAGATTGAACAATTGTTAATAATTGATTTATCAAAAAAATTTTTTTATTTCCTTCTCCTTCGGGACTTTTTTATTCTCATGTTCATAACTAAACCTAAACATAAAAAAAAACACTGGCCTTATAATGAAAAAAGGGGCCTCTTTCAAAATAGATAATTTCAGGGCTGCTTGGTCAGGGGTACCAGGGAGGTACTTTGACTAAAAATGAATTAATGCTTTGAAATGTGCCCTTTGATAAGCAATGGTGCCTCCTTCAAAATTTGTGAATTTCATGGCTTTTGGATTAAAACACGAGCCAAATACAATCGCTGGAAAGTTGTTACATGATACTCAGGTGACCTATAAGGCCCGTGGGCCTCTTGTTTTAAAAAAAATAACATTTTTATTATCCATTTCTAAAAGAGCTTCTCAGTTTATCATAATGTCAAAAACACATTGTAACGACGTCAACCTACATATCAATTGCAAAATCATGGCAGTTAAAAATTCAGTGATATAAAATTATAAATACATTTTTTAACTTGTAATTTCTTAATTTTGTTTAATTTTATTAATCAAGCGAAAAAAGTTGCTTTAAAAGTAAAAACAGTAAATAAGCTTCATTTTACTATGATTTGCAAAATATTGCACAATGAAAACCACAGTCAGCCCCCTTAAATATAAGTAATTGTTATACTCCTACAAAACAGTTCCTATATAATTCCTTACTTTAAAAAGTCCAACAATTTGACTGTTTTTCCCACCTACCGTCCAAGGAACTGTCAAAATTGACTGTTAAAAAAGACTGTTGACCGCTGACGTCATATGGCGCTAAATTGAGTTATCTTTTCCTCATTCGGCAAACCTCGCTTGATTTGGATAACCATGGGTTAAATGTACTTAGCCGAGGAGTGCCAATTGATTTAAACTTGTCAGTTAGCTATGATGTCATAGACTATCTGACGAAGCGGTTCCAGGACTTATGTACTAAGGCTACCCATCGGGAAGAAATGGCCGATGTTCGTTTCACTCGAAACTAGGGACAATAAGAATGCTAAAAAATTAGTGAAAACGGCTGAAAATATTCTCAGTGAATATGAAGTGTATCTACCACTTCTGCGAAATAAATTGTGTGAAAAATTGGTAAGCATATTGACTTGAGGAAATTCTATTGTGCCGCTTGGAAGAAGGATGGGAGCATGTATGCAAAGAAAACCATGATTTCTATCCACTATGCTTTACAGAAATCATTTTATAAGTCCCGTGACATTGATATAATAAATGATCCTCGATTGAAGACGGCAAATGACGATTGTTGATAAATTCACATAAACATGATCAAGTCTCTCTCTTCCAAAACAATTTGACTTTTCTTAAATACATTAATTTGATTTGGTAGGAGTACATGTATAACTAAACCGTTGTTGACAGAGGTCTCAGGAAACAGTCGACCTGTTGGGCAAGAGTGCAAGCTGTTGCCCGTGGCCTACGACCTCGGGCAACAGCTTGCACTCCGGTCCAACAGATCGACTGTTTCCCTCTACCCCAGTCAACAACTGTATAATATTTATGCCCCCCTTCGAAGAAGGGAGGGCATATTGGTTTGCTGCTGTCTGTTGGTCGGTCGGTCTGTGGTCCATTTAGTTTCCGTCCATTTTCTTCATAACCGTTGCACATACTGAAATCAAATTTGGTATACAGATATATCACATGAATATCTAGGTCAAATTATGTTTTAAGTATGATCGCACCATTTTTGACAGAGTTATGCCCCTTGGACTTGGAAAAATTTCAGTTATTTGCAGTTTCCGCTCATTTTCTTTGCAACCGTTGCACATACTGAAATCAAATTTGGTATACATATATATCACATGAATATCTAGGCCAAGTTATGCTATGGGTACAATCGCACCATTTTTGATAGAGTTATGCCCCTTGGAGTTTGAAAAAAATTCAATTATTTGCAGTTTCCATTCATTTTCTTAGCAACTGTTGCACATACTGAGATGAAATTTAATATACAGATTAATCAGATGAATATCTTGGTCAAGTTTTGTTTTGGGTACAATCGTGCCATTTTTGACAGAGTTATGCCCCTTGGACTTACAAAAAAATTCCCATTTTGGGGGGAAGGGGGCATAAGTGTTTTACAAACATCTCTTGTTTACAAAAAATTATCCAAAAAGTTTTTGAAAGATACCAATTGGTATTTACCTGACTCTAGCTAGACTCCAATAGTGACTGTCCTACCTACCAGAATCACAGTGTTATCTGTGTTCTAGCTGGTCCATCAATGACCCCTTAACAGTATATTACATACCTGTCAGATTTGTTTTGTTCTTCTAGGTCTGGAAGGATATTTAAATATATTTTTGTTTTACAATCTCCAATTAATTGATTGCATCATTAAACAATTGTGTATAATTATATCTGTGTGTGTGTGTGTTTTAACTGTATATGTTTATGACAAAGATATTATACATGTAGTAATTTTTAAAGAACCCTAGCATACATTGCAGGCCAGCTGGCTCCTAATCCAGTACACTTGTAATCGCCAATGTAAATTTTTAGAGAAATTTAGGGAGAAGAGAGCAGTCCTTCCTGGACAGATAGATAGTGTAATTACATTTTATAGTAAAGTGGAAGGAACTGAGAAAGTAAAGGCTTGTGATATCCAAGGATTTGAGATTTTGAGTTTAAAATATTTGAAAAATATGAAGTAGCTGGGTCTTACAAATTACCTTGACATATCCATGGTATTTTAGATATCAGTGGTCAAGATATACTCAAGTTCCACTGTCACACTATTGTAAAAAGACCATTTTGGCTAATATTTTATACTTGATTGACCCCTCCCCTCATTTTAAATTTCTGTGTACAATCGATGAATTTGCAAAAAAGATTAAATTTTAAAAAACGTAGAGAATGTCGAAAATCACAATGAAATATTGAAAAATTCAGCTAGATGTCAAGGGTTTTTAACTGAAGCAGATGTGTAAAACTTAAATATTCAAAAAGATATTGGCCTAACCTATTACAGTGTATTCTTTTTTATTAAGAAACTTATTGATAAATTTAAAATATTGATAATTTTAAGAATTAAGTATAATCTTTTTGTGATGAAGATTTTATGCTGGTCTATTTGATTACAACCTAACTCTATTGTGTAAATGATATCTCTAATGATGTATTAAACTAGTCACTAAATAAATGACATTTTTTGATTATTTTCAGCTGACACACTGACAGAGAACCGGATAACAATAGCAGCAGTTTATTCCTCCCCTTCTTTACGATGTGTTCAAACAGCAACAGAAATCTATCAAGGTTGGTTATGCTAAGCCTTTTCTATTTGGTTCAGTTTTTACATCTAATAAAAAAGAATTGATTTGCTCATTACAAGTGTAATGCAAATGGTATTCTAGAAATTCTGAGATATTATAATATTTTACAGTGCTAAAAATCCAAAACAAAATCAAGATAGAACCAGGTTTGTTTGAGTGGACAGGCCACACCAATGTTGTACCCCGGTGGATTTCCCCCGAGGACTTGTCTAAGCAGGGTTACCCTGTAGACACCTCCTACCTCCCCCAGGTCCCCCGGGACAAGCTAGAGGACGGGGAGTCAATCAGTAATCTGTACGCTCGGTCAACTGAAACCTCCAGGCAGATACTTAAACTGTACGAAAGTAAAGGTAAGGAAACCTTGTACTGGAACTGAAAAATTAGTAGACATTGATTGTAATCAATTGTTTCACCCCTTTTATTTGACTAGCAAAATTTTCAAAATGTAAAAATTCTCCTGTGATACGGTCATTAAATGAGTAATAAAACCATTTGCAAGCTGGAAAATAGAAAGTTACAATTTAAATTGCAGATGAAAATTGAATCTGAAAATAAAAAAAATTCTTTTGTATGCAAATTTAGGTGGCAGTATTTTGTTCATTGGTCATTCTGGTACTCTGGATTTATGCACACGAGTCATAACAGGACAGACCCCCCGGACCACCATGTCATATAGAGAGTTCCTCCCCAAGGTGCCCTACGTGGCTATGTGTGCCATCGAGGAGGACGTCATCACAAGGAAGTGGAAATTCATAGATCCACCCACTCTACCACTATCTCACGGACGCAATATTGTACAGAACGTCAGAGACATTCTGAATGGATGACATTCGTTTTTCGGAAATTGAGGAATTGTTTGTGCCAATAGCTAACATTTAGCTCAATAATGCCAATGAAGCCATTATTTATACCTGTGAATAGTTAAACATAAGTATAAAATTTCTACTAAAATGTAATTTTATTTCCACTAACAAATATTTAATAATCTCTTCAGCAGGTTTGAAGGGTGATAAGGAAATTTTACAGAATGTTAAGGCTTGTGGATCAAAAAGCTAACCTGAGTCACATTTAACTTCCTTGGAAATGAATATGTAGATAAGAGAAAGAAGAAAATATCCAAATTGTGTTCCTTTCATTTATAAGGTTTTATCAGATGATGTAAGATATGCTATAGTACTCATTGTCTTGTTGTATTTAACTACAGGTAGCTTCAAGTTTTAGCTGATGTTTTTTTTTTTTAAATGCCCTTACTGTTATTTGTGAATTTAAGGTTTTAGAATAACATTCTGTTTTATTATATTGTGGAGAATAAGGCAGCTCAATTGAACAAAATTGAATCCTCTTGAACAAAGAAATATTTTTTTATGTTTGGTTGAAATAAGTCCATTGTTTTAAAGATTTTGAAAAAGATAATTAGCAAAGATTGATCAGAGAAGTTTCCTTAACTTAGGCTCATGCAGTAGACCATTAAAGTTAGATTTTTTCTTGCTGTGGTCAGTTTTAAGCACCACATTCAGAGCAATCAGTTTAAATATTATGTCTTTTATACATTATTGTTATGCAGCAACTTTTTTTTTGGAACCCCCCAAAAAATCTTATTTTGCTGATGTAAGTTATGTCCTTTAGATGAGGTATGATCAACCTTAAAGAGTGAAAAATCTGCTTATCTTTTTTCAGCAGGGACCAATTTTTATTATTATACTTTCATGTTAAATATTAAAATCTGATTGGTTTAGACGCAGTTAACAATCTGTTCTATTAACCTCAGCCTTAGAAACACACGTGACAATGGGTAACATAATGGTAATGCCACATGCGTGGAAATTATGCACGTACGGTTCATCGTAGAATTCTCAACACGTCAGTTGCGCGTTTGAAAGAACAGGAATTTGACGTCAATAAAAGCTTGCGTCCGATGTAGCTTACTTGAAAACAACAACCGACAGACGAAACATGCCTGCGAGTCCAGAAATAACGAAATTTTAGATTATAAAGGACTTGTAGAGTATCAAATAAACAATTAAGAGGTCAGTAAATCTTTTTCGAAGTAGCGGGGAGTTTGAAAGCTTTCTAAACGTGAACGAAAAGGCGATCAACGATTTGTATTGCTAACATTGTAAATCAAGAAGGCATTCAGTATAATAAAATAAATGGTGCCTGTTTTGCAGGGTAACAGTTGAAATTGACACCCCTCGGAAAACCATTGTCAACCTCCGCTGTCAATTTCAACTGTTACCCTCCAAAACAGGCACCATTTATATAATGGTATCACAAAGTAAATGTACTTATAGTATTTTTTTTTTCAAACCATTTTTTTAATTCTAGAATATTAGATTCATATAACAGTTGTACATGTACTTAGGTGAATTCAAAGATGTTCATGAAATGAAGTTGCTGTTCTAATGATTTTATTCTAAATCTGTGAAAAATATTGAGCATTTTTATTGATTTATATGATAGTCTTTTTTTTCTAAGATTCTTTGTATGGCTGTTCATGCCTATTTAAAATTTTGTTCTTTACTGATAAGTGACATTCTTGCTTGTTGTCCGTAGACATAATGTTTTATATTTTGTACTATGTTTTTTTCTTGTTGATATCATCTAGGTCTTTGTTGAAGTTGATAATTGTTGTTGATGTATATACCATTAAAGACAAATTTTATTTCTTTTTGTACTGTATCGTAGATACATGGGTAATCCCGCTGCTCATTAAAAAGCCAAAACAAAACATTCACATGCTTCAGAATACTCTCAACCACTTTCAACACTCATAAATTTTTATAAACACTGAGTTTTTAATTCCATTTTTCATTGTATTAAAGGGACATATAATTTTTTAAGCCAGTTTTTAATTTTACTTTGCTTATTATTTTTTTTTTAAATAGGCTAATTTTGCAATTTTATATACATAATACATTGCTTTGCTTTTATTAGAACTTTTGGTCTCCATTTTGTCTCTACATTCATCAAAATATCATGCCATGATGAAAATGCTCAGTTAAATCTTTCTTGTATGTAAATATCAAATTGAAAAATCATTAGAATTAAGATCTCTCATTTTTTAGGTGACATAAATATTGAACTGTCCATCATTTGTTCTTTTATTATGAAAGTGTTTATACCATGATGGTAAGCTTTATTCCCAAAACTTTTGAAGCTAATGAAAGTAGTTTTTTTTTTTTTTTTTTTTATTAAAAAAAGATAATGTCCCTTTTAAAGAAATTTTTTTTAAAAAGTTGTGACCTAATTTTGCAGCTATTGATTAAGCTTAACCCCCCCCCCTTCCCTCCCAAAAACTGTTTTTGTGATGGGCAATAACTCTTCTAACAGAAGTGGTGTATTATGTTCCTTTGGCAATGAAGATAGTGGCTTCATGATTTGGACTGGGAATATAATTTCAGAACTTAGCTATTAGATTTTTAAAATCTGTAATAGGGGTAAATTGATCTTACTGGCCTATGGAATTTCATTTGCTCTATAAAGAAATTTTATTTTTGATATTATCAAATTATGAATTTATTTTTTCTTCATTTTTTCTTAACAATTTTTAAAATAAAGTTTGCTTTTATATTTGGCTAAGCATAATTTTTACCAAGGTATCTGATATGATTTTGTCATAATTTTCAGCTTAAATATGTTTACTTTTAGCTCTGAAGATTTATTTCTTTTTATTTACTAGTTTATTAAATTTTTATGCTGTCGAACGATAAACATATTGATCTAGCACCATTTGGTGCAAGCATGAATTAATGTTGATATGGTTATGTTTAAACATGAATTAGAGCTTAATGTGTGATGATTATGACTTTGTCTGGTGTTTTCTGTGTTTGAGAATTGTTCTTAACCAGTTGGTTTCAACTTTTGAATTGATAGATATTTAAGTTTTCTATTATAAAGTTCCGTATAACAATACTGTAGACATACTTTTTTCCACGGGGTCATAATTCCGCGGAATCTCTATTTCTGTTCAATCCGCTGGTAGAAAATTACGCGGATATCTTAAGACTCTCCTTATATGCCTTATATTTGCATTAAGTTTGATGGGACAAATTTCCGCGGAAATTTGTGACTGCGGACATAGTGTAAATTAATACCACACGAAAAAAAAGCACTTCTGCAGTAATTCAAAATGAAGTACATTATTGTATTTGCCTTTTTCACATATTTGTATGTCATTTTTTTTCCATATGACCCAAACAATCAATAGATTTGATTTTGTGTTATTTGTTAACTTGAGCCAAGAGGATTGGCTTTCTTCAAGATTATAGATGACCAAGCAAGTCCTTTTAAACCATAGAAAATTTAAAATCAAAAAGGTGCTAATTATATTTGCATTTCAATGTACTAGTACTAAAAGAGCTGGTGTTACATTAAACAAATGTACTGGTAAGCCACAATAGTGTTATCTCATTTTGAGTATTTTTTCCCCTATAGTAACTTTATGATAGCTAATTAAAAAAAAATTATTTCCAGTGATATTAAGTGATTTTTCAGATGTTAATAGGGGATAAGGTTATTTTGGAGTAAGATTGTCAGAAATTAGAGACTTAGTTTCTAGTTTTAGTATTTCAGGCACAGTGGGTCAAAATCTGTCAACAAATAGACTTTGAATTCTTCTATATAGATCGAACCTCCTCCCAACTTATGTGTAATCAATTTAGTGATATTGTTTTCTAGTCATGACAAAAAGAAGTACTAGGTACCCTTTTTATCAGCATTTAACAATTGACATTGTATTTGATACGGACAAGTCAATGTTAAAGATTTTGTTAAGTGTTGGTGACAAATCAAAGATCAATTATGGTACATGTATAATCATGTCATATTTCCTTTTAATGCATCTATTATTTTCCCCCACTAGATGTTCAATGATTAATGTTAATTTACTACTTAGTATGTCATATATACATGTACATGAAGATTATTTTTCCTAGCCTGGATAATCAATTAAATTGTCTTCCTTTTACAATTAACATGACTGTCATTAAAAGTGAATGTCATTGTGCAATACCATATGTCATAACATTGAACTAGTAACAGATAATTGAAGCTGGTCTCACATTATTAATTTGACATTAAAATTGTTGTATAGTTTACTAGAAATGTTGAATTAATTTTTTAAAAAGTCATCCTGATTTGAGCAAGCATTTGAAACAATTTGAGTATCCCTTAATACAAGTTAACTCAAAAATAATCTTTCAGAAGTTCATCATCTTCGCTAGCCAAGTCTCCCATAGCGAAGATAGAAGTTTATTAGAAGTAAGAGGTCACTGAGAAGGTCAAGTTTGATAAAAATACCCTTTTTGGAAATGGGTTAAACACAAACCGGAGAGAAAAAAATTAGGTCAAGGTTATAGGAAGAGTCAAGGTAAAAAGAAAAGGGTTGATTTCAACAATATGACATTGTATCAGCATGTGCAATTTGATTGTGCATAGATTATTTATAACTGGGCAAAATACAAATTTTTAAAATGTGGTCAAAGGAAAGGTCAAGGTCAAAAATGCTCATGCAGTTTCAAAAGCTTTCATCAAATATCAGTGTATGAGGTTTGATGATAACGTCTTGTACATTTTTTTTTAACTGGGCTAAATACAAATTTATGAAAAGGTGAAGATCAAAGTATAGATCAAGATGAAAAATGTTGTGATGAGTGAAATAGCTCCCATGAATATATATCAGGAAGAGAAGGTGATAAAATTATCTTGAATAGTTTATTTTAACACTAAACACAAAATTGTGACTGAAGGAATACAGACATTATTAACACACGCCTTGGTCATATTTATGGCAGGGATAAAACAATATTCGTTCATAGATAAAATCATATTTATAAATAGTGTTACTTCTGTCTTTTAATAATATTGATAACCCAGGTTTTACCTTCAAATTCCGCCACATTGGACTAGTGGTTTATTTAATTAAAATTTCTTTTTCCCTTATAAACTCTTCAGTCATTCATAAAATCAGAACGTTATTGGGGGTGTTATGCTACACGTTTTTTTTCCGTCTTAAATTAATTTTAGCCTTTTGCAATCCATTAGCAAATTGACCATTCATGAGAAAAAGTCCATCATATTAGGGAAAAGACGGCGGATTATTAACTTGAAATGTAGGGGTTTGTATTTGCTGTGGGCCGAATTCCCAAAAATAAACTCTCTTGAAATCTTGATTGCGCACCATTTCGTATCCCAGTGGAGGGCAGAAAACTTGTTTAATCAAATGCGCTTATTTGCTATTTCATCCATCGCTAATAAGAACGGAAAGTGTCGTTTATAAGAGAATGTGAAAGTGTTTGGACTGTTATTGTAATTTTGGAATGGACAGGATGACGTTTATGACGATCTTTGTGTTTGCTGTAATGTCTGTCAGTGTTGCATCTGGTCATGCAGTTAGTGAATCTCAAGAAGAAAAGCATCAAGGGTTGCAAAAGGTAAGATTTACTTAATTGTTTAAAATTATTTTTTAAAAAACGCAGGCAACTGACGTTTCTTATTTTTCTTTTCAATAAAAAATATATTCTTACTGAAAAGAAAAATAAGTTTTGTCAGGTGCCTATGTAAAAAAAAAATATTATATCTATGTTAAAAACTAAGTGGTTCTGAAAAAAAAGTTTCACAATCATTTAAGATGTTCAAGCGAGCGATTTGATAAAATTTTGACATGTGACGCTACTCTTGTTTTAATTTTGTTTTTAAATACAAAAGTATGCGAATTAAAAAAAAATTCACATTTGTTACAATTTTGAATTCAAACATGAGTTCTCTTACTTAAATTAAAGATTGGAGAGAGAAAAAAAAACGAATGCAATAGATTTTTCTTTGTAGACACACGACACAGAGTTATTTCTCTTTTAACAAAAACATTTGTTCGATGTATATGATGGGGCAATACCATCCTCTGGGTAAAATATTTTTTTCAAAGATCCCTTTTGAATGAAAATTTGCTTGGTCAGATCCCATAACAGAATATTGTCAGGCCCGAAGCAACAGTTTTTAAAGGGACAACCTTCCAAAAAAAATCTTACACGCCATGTGGCAACGCACTTTGAAAAAATTACGCACTTTGAAAAATTTTTTCAAAGTGCGTTAATTTTTGGGACAAGGTTAACGCACTTTGAAAAAAAATTTTTTTTTTTCAAAGTGCGTTAATATCGACCATATTAACGCACTTTGAAAAAAAATTCTGCATGGCATAGTCAATATTCCTACAAACCTTAGGTATGATAAATTATCATTTGAACCTGATTTGATACTTTTTGTCCCCCGCTTGAAAAGTGGGGGATATTAATTTGGGTCTATCTGTCCGTCCGTCCGTCTAGCTGTCCGTCCATCCGTCTTTCTGTAACGCTTTCGTTTCCACACGATATCTCGACAGCCTTTTGAGCTTTTGCAATGAAATTTAACATAACAGAATCCTTGTGGCCTTAGGAAGACCCCTTTTGGGGTCAAAAGGTCAAGATTCAAGGGCGTAAAGAATTACGAAGGATAGTATTATTCTTCCGCCTATCTCTAAGTCAATTCTCAAAAGTTAACATATTGGAATGATTCTCAAAATTTTTATAGATATTCATATGAATTTTCATAAAACTTTACTTATTTGGGATACCAAAGAGAGATAACTCTATAATTTTGGCAAAACTTGTGTTTTTCACTATAGAATTCAACGGAAAACTGAAAATATTTTTAAAACATCCCCCCCCCCCCCCGTGAAACAAAAAATCCTTATTTACAGGTAATATGGACTGTCATTTTACAAATTTATGCCAAAGCTTTTTGTGTTTCACGGGGGGGGGGGGGCATATGTTTATAGACAAAACACGAAAAAAATGCTTATTTTTCACCAATTTTAAAGCTATTTAATACTAAATTATTGTATTTTATAAATTTATATATGCTTTATTATTTGCGTAAAACATGAGAAAAGATATTAGATACATGTTATCATATTTATGATTATTTCAAAATATGGCGATTCTTGAAAGTTCAACACTATATCCCATCATACGTTGCGAGGGGATAATACTGTTGTCTATTTCTAAAATATAAGTCTAATTTCTTTTGTTTCATGAAAGTTTTTTCAAAGTGCGTTAAATGTTTACATGGTGTAAAATTATGATGTACAGTCTTAACGCACTTTGAAAAAATTTTTCAAAGTGCGTTGATTTGGTCCCAAATTCAACGCACTTTGAAAATTTTTTTCAAAGTGCGTTAACCTGGTCCCAAAAATTAACGCACTTTGAAAAATTTTTTCAAAGTGCGTAATTTTTCAAAGTGCGTTGTAACAACGCCATCTCCAAAGCAAAAACCAACTTATCCACATGAATATATATAATATCTAATATCTAACCCCCCGTTTACACAGAGCTGCGACTCTACAGCGATCATCCCGATCAAGCCACGATCTGATTTTTTTTTTTGGATCGGGGCAGATCGCAGCCGATCGGCGTCTAAATAGAGCAATTTGGCAAATTATGGTCTTCGTTACGATCGTACTTCGATGTCCCTACGTCAAACGCGCTGCTAACACGCTTCTACTACGATGTTACGCAGACTGTTGCCGACATGCAGCCGTGTTTACTGCGTTTACGCTACGCTGCCACTAAGACATTGAAGACCATACTACGACGCTACACAGACCTAGATGACTATACTCCGAAGTCGCTACGGTGGTGCCGATCATATTACGTTTGCATTACGCTTCTAGTACGATTTTGGCGATGATGTAAATATATCTTGCAACCGCAGATTTTTGTAGTACTATTTTAGCGATGATACATATCTTACGACCGCAGTTTGTTTTGGGCCTTTACCACATGGTTTAAGGACAATTTCTATTATAACTGTAACAAGATGTGAAAATGCTCAATTGTAAATGATCATCAAGTATAGTGTCCCCATTTATATGTGGTTTACAGATGATGATTGGTCAAATATCAGCGCTATAAGAACAAACTCCTGTCTGATAGGTCGTGATATGATCGGCGTAAGGTCATAGTAGGTCTTCGTAGGATCATCAGGAGCGTAGAGAGATCGTAGTGAGAACGTAGTACGAACGCAGAGGGAGCGTTGTATAAGCGTGTTTGGTAAGTTCCTACGCTCTTACGGCGCTTTTACTACAATCGTGAAGATCTCTCTACGATGCTTCTGCGCTGCTTGTACGATTATGGCGCTTCTACTACGCTCTTTTTACGACTTCACCCCGATTCTTGTTGGCCACGATCCCACTACGCTTGTTTTGAACATGTTCAAAATAAGCGTGGTGAGAGCGTAGAGGTCTCCGACCATGAAGACCCTACAACGATCACGCCCCAACGATCATACTACGCTTAGGACGACCCCAGGACGTTTCTCCTGCGATTTGTCACGATCGGCCACGCTTTTGGACACGCTTTGATCGTAGTAGAAGCGGCGTCTATGTGTGAACGGGGGGTTACATTTATAAACAGAAGAAACGAGGACCACTAAAACAGTAAAACATCAGAGGTGGGATCAGGTGCCATGTAGTTGTAAGCAACCCCCTGTTGGGCGGTTACACCCGGAATGTGCTCCTTATGATCGGGAAAATCAATGTGTAAATAATGGCCAAACAATTAGTATGAAAAGCGTCAGTCAGTATTCAACTTGGTTTTATTTGCTGACAAGATTATTGTATAGATAGACCTCATGGACCTTGCGATATGATTAATTCATCAATCGATATGTCATGTTGTAAATTTTGAATTTATACGGGTGGCAGTAAAAACAAAATTTACAACATGACAACTAAATTTTGTATTTACTGCCATCCGGTAAATTCAAAATTTACAACATGACAGATATTGTTGATATTCTTGTTTCATTAGCGTGTTTGTCCACAGCTTGCCTCGTTTCAGAAACTGTTCATATGCAGAGCATGCTCCAGAGTATCGAATTAATTGGGAGAAAACCCCATATACAGGTGATAAGAGTAAATTGTTAAATAAGTAAGGGAAGTTGACGATAGAAAAGTTAAAGTTTTCACATTTATCATAAAGTTTTATTGTCAGACTCGGTGGTATCTTTCATTTCAAGTTCACTTGAATATATATCGAGTGGAAGCAAATATATGAATGGAAGCAAATATAGTGAATTGATAAAAACGTCCTCGATGTTAAAGACCACACCAAGTGTTTTCTTCCTATAGATGTGTTTGATAAAATTCGCTACATATGAATATAAAAATAGGCCTGCTTAATATTGGGACGCAATTGGTACCCACTGGAATTCCGACCGATTGTTGGAATACCTGATCTCCAAAAACAACATAAATGTACATGTAGACTACATGTTGTCAGTCAGAAACTCAAGTATAAGAGAAGATGAAAACTTGAATAAAGCTGTTTCTAGTTAATACGGCATTATAGTTATCTTTCTTTCAGAGGTCCAGACACGTAAGTTCTCAGTGGCAGGAGATAGCTAACAACATGTTGACGAGGTTGATGATCGTAGTAGAAGAGACTTTACAGGAGCTGGGGGCCAGTGAAGCGGAACTGAGGGAAGTCCAGAAGAAAAGATCTCACATCACTGCGTGTTACTTCCAGGCAGTCACATGTTATTAAGGATTTCTGTTTGTTCCATAGGGGTGGACTAGTAATACAGTTGTACATGATTCATGAATGATAAAGTTGTAATGAAATGTCTTTTTGGTTTTGTCTTTTTAAGCTCATCCGAGCCTCGAACAAAGGTGCGAGTGAAGTTTTTTTTTTATATATATATAAAAATTGGTATTGCAAGGATGTCAAGTATTATTATCAATATTCCTCGCAAAAGTCAAGGGTCTCAAAATCAAATTAGGGCATTATTCGACTTTTATGCATACTCTATATGGGTTAATTTTTATTGCTAAAACAAATGCCTGTGCTTTCAGAGTTCAGTTTATTGAATTTAAATTAATATTCTTAGCAAGTACTTTTACTCGCGAAAACTTTATTTTCGCGTAATTGCACGAGACAATGTGCTCGCGAAAATTTAATTCTCGCGTATAATAGAATTCCTTAATCTGATTATATAGAGCAATAACCACAATTCGTGAAAATTTTGTCTCGCTAATCAAGAGTCAATGCCCTCGCGAAAATAAGGTGTCGCGAAAATTAAGTGATCTACAGTAGTACTCTCTACCATCGGCTCGTCTGAGAGAGGAACGAACGACAATTCTGCATGGGAGATTGCTACAGTAGTAGCACAGGGAATATTATATTGAGATCTAATCTGTACATTTTCATGAAAAAAAGTCGAAATTTTCCACTTGGTCGTTAATAAGTTAACTCCTCGGTAGCTTCTGTATTGGTCGCCGAAAACTCCCGAGAATTCATTTCTGAAAATGACGTCACCATTTATGACGTAGAGGAAGAAGTAATGTTTACGATGTGAGAAATGAGGCGTATATATTTGTTCATTTTATCCATTTTCCTTTGTGTTTGTTGGATTTTGGCATATGAAAACGATTAGTAAGTATAAACATAGCAAATTCTACAACCTTTTAGCTTTATTGCTCAAACCAAACACGGTCACACTATTCTCAAGGATCGAGGTACATTTTTTTTAAGTAGGCTTATGATTTTGCTGAAATATGGTTGGACATTCAACAATGGAAACAGTCGTAAGTACTCAATACTGCCTTTCTGAGATGTACAACTAGGCCTATCCTAGGGCTCACGGTAAAAGTAATCTGTTCGGCGACCGTCTTTCCATTTCTCTGTCAGAAACAAATTTTTAAAGACACTTTTTGTCACATCTGCATTGGTTCTTGGTAGATTTTCTGGTTTAGCACAAGTTCCAGAGCTATACGATCCTAATAAAATGTCAAGATATCGATCGAACAGTGTTCGATCTAAAATATAAAACAATACAAATCTGTTAACTGAATAAGATCTGGGCATAAAATACAGTTCACTGACTCAAGGGTGGGATCAGTTGCTTTAGATGGGTAAGCATCCCCTGTTGACTGTTCACATCCGCTGTGAGCCCTATGGGTTGTTCAGGTAGATGGAACATTCCATAGTCAACTTTTAAGTATTAAACAAAGCTTACATAAATCAAGAAGAGTGAAACAAGTAAAACAAAAATTAAAGCTGCAAGTAAAACAAAGATTAAAGCTGCATCTATTTTAATAGAATGATAATACCCCTGCCCCCTCACAATAAGAAAAATCTTATTGATTTCGCTGGTGTTGTCATGGTTATTATAAAAAAATTCTTTGGCTCTTTTTTTTTTAAACTTCTACAATTTTTACCTGATTTGTAAAACTAAATAAAGATACATTAAGCATATGGTAATAACAAACAGTATTCAAGATCACAAGCCCATAAAACAATACAAAGTAGGAGCAGAGCAAACACGGACCTCCAAAACATCAGAGGTGGGATCAGGTGCCATGGAGGAGTGAGTACATCAACATCCCCTGCTGACTGGTCACACCCGCCCTGTGCTCCTTGTCATGATTGGGAAATATCCGAAAAATCTGTCGTCAATTCAGTGTATGAATAATAGACTAATACTTAATTAGTATGAAAAAGGTCAGTCAGCATTTGACTCAATGATAAATTGCTTTTGCTGACAAGGTCATTGTATCGACAATAGAACATACGAAATGATGACTTTAAACGAGACTGCTGATATTCTTGTTTCACCAACTTGTTTGTCAGTAATATATAAGGTCAATATACTAGTATACATGGTAGTTAAAATTCATTTGGGTTCTTTGGGAACATTAAAGTTGAAAACATTCAAAAGTTAAAAAAGCAAAAAGTCACATCTAGGGGCCTATATCTAGGTTTTTCAATTCAATTTTAATGTCTTGTTGCAGCAATGACTACGACACTGGTCTATTAGATGAAATAAAGTCAGAAGAGAAGAGAAACTTCAACGAACAAAAACATGGTGGGTCTCAATTTGCAAAAAAGAGTAGCATTTTGTATAAATCGTGTAATATCAACTGATTTCTGTTACAAACTTGATTCACTTTGCACTTTTATCACTTTCAGCAGAGGTCGATGAGCCTTTCAAAAATTTGTTGTCCGAGCTCGAAGACGACATCGGAGAGTTGTCCGATTTGAACAAAAGAAACAATGGTGGTCCTTCCGGCAAATCGCCGCCTCAGCAGACACCAGTCACCACTCCAAAGCCATCTCAGACCAATAGCACAGCCACCACCTTAAAACCCCCCACACAGAGTACTGTAACGTCAACTGCCAGTGTAACTACAACTAAAGCACCGGTAAAAGCAAATCCCCAACCCACGGAAAAGAAACCCAGTAATGATAGTCGTGAAAGCAACGCCAAAACAAAGAAACCCCCAAAAGGCAACGCTGTTAATAAAAATCGCAAGAAAGTTCATCCACAAGGGGACTCAAAGAGTAAGGATAGTAAAGGAAAGGGTAAGAAAAACTTACGTGGGAGAAAGAAAATGAAGAATCGATATAGAACAGATAAAAATAAAATGCTCGCTCAGGCATCATGTGGCAAGGCTAAAAGGTACCCAACGTGCATCCAAATGTATCGAAAATGTATGTATGAAAGAAAGAAACAGCAAATTCGTTGTAAGCAGAGAAATGGGAACAACAGTCGAGGTCGTTTGGAGAAGTATTCAAATCTACTAAAGGGGAGAAAACTGCTCTTAACGAGGCATGGTCTAAAACAGAATAGAAAAGGGGAGCAGCAGCAAGCAAACAAAAAGAACAGCATACAAGACGACAAACAGTGGAAGAATAAAGGTAACAATGGGAAAAATGAAAGAAAAAGTCCACAAAATAACTTGCCCAAGAATTCGCCAAGAAAGCAGGAAGGAGCCGAAAATGGAAAAGGAAACAATCAGAGTCGTAAGAATCAGAAAGGAAAAAGTAGTCCATCTGGGAATACAGCAAAACCGTTACCCATAAACAAAGACAATGGTAGCAACAACGTATTAAAGGAAAAGCAAGCACTGAAGAAGCAAAAGAAGCTGGTAAATGGAGAGATCAAGGGATTGCTGAAATATCTCAGAAGGGTCAAAGGTCATTTGTATCATATCGACAAGAATGACGGCAAACGAAGAGTCATAAAGACGAAAGGAAAGTCAGATTCAAACTGAAAGGGGTTTTTTTGTAACGCATGCATGTGATTTTTACTAATAAAATATAGTAAATGTTAATTGGTTTGTTAAAAGTATACTCAACAAAAAAAGAAACGCATATTGTTTTACTCGTCAAAGAAATTTTTAAAATGTGCATGAAACAACCATTTTTTATATCATTGGATACCTGTGACCTATTTAAAGGACAACATGGGGTTTTAAAACCCAAGTGTTGAATTATCTCCCTTGATTAAACATGTTTATGAAAGTAGTGTTTTTCATGATTTCTTCTGAATCAGATGTCTATTTTCATTGATATTTTGGATTTAGAGAAACTTTTAACACTTCTATTAAACCCATATTTAAGATTTGATTGCAGTGTTAATACTGCAATGCCACGCCCAAACAAAGATGAATACAACCAGGCTAACGATGATACTAAATGGAGCTACGCAACAGGAAGTTGCAACTGTATTTGAAATAAATCAATGGGCTTTGCAACCTTAAAACTCAGGTCTGAAAACCACTATCTGGCCTTCCGCAGGTAACCACAACCAGGCAGGACCGTCAGACACCCCCCCCCCCCCTTCATCACCTCATGCGATTCAGAACTTGCTGTAAAAACTGCTGCTACAATTGCTGGATGAAAAAATCAGCATAAAAATGCATAAATTGTTCGCATGAGACTAAAATGAGATGATATTCCCCCACGATATCCGTACATTGGAAACCCACTAACATTGAGACTTTGCACAGTACATATTGTTATGCCCCTTGAATTTGGGGGCAATGAAAATCACCTCAACTTGACTTTTCAATTTGCAACATTGATTTTTATCACAACACACTCTAAAATCGCTTAAATAATACAAGGTTTAAACTGAGAACTTAGAATTTCAAATTATTCTGATTATGCGTTTCTTTTTTTGTTCAGTATATATTTGACATTACCTACTTTTACCGATTAAAAAAATTGAATGTAGCATTTTGTATGCACTTGGATTTGTCTGTCTGTTCGTAGGTGCTTTGTTTTATTAATCTGCAAGGTATTTAACCTTAATTAAAACGTTGTGAGTGGTTTTCAGAAAAAAAAAAATCAAAGAAAAAGATGTATATGTATTGCACTTAAAAGCAATTTCATTATCTGAGAAAGACAGCAGATAAAGGTTTTTGGAATAAATATGGAGACATAATTGCGGGAACATTCATGCAATAGCTGCTTCTTTACATGAGCTGCTCGGTAATATTATTGTGAAACAGTTTCCAGGCGTTGGTGGGGGTTTGGTATTCAAGGGGAAAACGTGGGTTGCTATGATACTAAGTTAAAGAGTTTTGATTTACGACTACTGGTCCTCCGTAAAGGGGAGTTGAGTTTTCACTTGTAGCCGTTAATCCTTCTGCTTTAGTACACTGTAATTGTACTAGTGTTACTAACTGCTACTACCTCTATCTTTCATTCACGTCAACATTTGATAATTCGTATGTTAAATGTTCCACTCTTTTAGGGAGATTTGGGAAAAGTGGTCGTTATAGTACGATGTATTCAATATTAAACCCCGAATCGCTTTAATTTTTAAAATAAGTTGACTAGTAAGTGTTTATCTTTTATTTTAATCTCAGAATTGGTTTGGGTATATTGTTTTGTATGAATAATACCGTATAGCGGGTTATTTTAGCGGGGTGCTAATTTTGGCTTATTTTGGCGTTTTGCTGATGATCCGCTAAAATTGTAATCGTTAAAATAGTCAGGATTCTTTTAAGTGTCTATCTACAAAGAGCTGAAACCCTACGTCCGCTAAAATAAATTACGCCAAAAATATTCCCATACCTTTGAGTAGGCAAAACGCCAAATTTCACACCCGCCAATAAAACCCGATATACGGTATTACAAATGGTTTGAACACAAGTTCTGACAATTATACGAGGTTCTCTCCATAATGGCATTCTTTGTTAGGACGTTTATCCAAACTCTAATAACTTAATTCCCACTCTCTCATACTATGTATATTATGAATAATATATTTAAATTCAATAAATGGAGAAAAGAAAAAATCCTATTTTATGCCGTTGTACTGATTTAATTTGGTGTTTAGAAGCTTAATAAAACTTTCTCGTGAAATCTCATTTATAGGATCGAGGTTGCATTTGTAATGAGATGTCAGTTTAATAATGTGATTCATTACAGAAATATATTAACAGACTGAATTACCGTATTTGATTAATGTACACGTATTAAAGATCCCAAAAATTATGAACTTGCTTATATAAATTAAGCCCCCCACCCTTCTGGCGAAAAAAGTAACGTTAAAAAATGTGTTGAAAAAGTCAGCCGCAATGTAAGGCAAGAAAATAGTGTAAATTATAAAATAACAGCAGATGTTGTATATCTTTATCATCCATGTCAAGGTCACTCTATTAATACAAACTGAACTTGAGCATTCAAAGGTGAGATAAATGTTCCGATTATCCATTTTGAAGATCATACCAAAATCCGGCTCGGTTCAACATAATTTCACTACCATCTTAACTTATTTTTTGTTTTCTGTGCATAATATAGGGGGAGGAGTAAAGCAGTATTTCCGTCTTCAAAAATATCTTCAAATTTTGCAGGGGTCGTTTTATACTTCTGTCATAGTTCACGTTTTGCGTCACCATTTCTCTCTCTTTTGATGAATGTGCAACATGCATGAAATGTGCGAGGGTTGATCCAAAAGTAATGTCACAGTACCTAAATCTTTTATAGCTGGGTCATATCACCAAATATAATATACCAAAAAATGCATGCATTATCGCCATAAGAATGGAAATATCCATTTTAACTGACAATACGTCGTTGATATATCTAAATGACGAGTTGAAGGCGACAACAAGTGTTTTGTTCTATTCATGTATAAGATTTTAAACAAATTCTGCTTTGTACGAATACAAAAATTGATCTGCTTATACAGGGATCAATTTGTACCCATGGGAAATCCAATAAATTGTTGGAAGGCCTGCATGCAGTACTCCGAAACTATATAGATATTGTCCATCAGAAATTCAAATATGTTTTTTAATACCCCGGTATCAAATTCAAAGTGTTTGTACATACAATCAGAATGTTTTTAACAAAATGATTTTGCAAATGACCAATGACAATGCAAGGAAATTTGCGAAATCTATTTTTATTGAAAGCAACTGTCAATGATATTAAAAACCTTCAACTTTAATTTATCGCGGGGAACGGTTGTATATATAAAGTTTAAAAATTGTACGTTTTAATGTTGTTGATTTTGTTAAAATTGTGATCTCATATTTTCCAAAAGTCCCTTGGAATATTTGCAATGGTTAATGAATGCAGGATATTTTGTGAAATTCTCTAAAATTATATACAATTTCTACAGTTCTGCATGGTCTTAACTCACGTGGATAATAAAACAAAACACGTTATTCTACAAAAGTTCCCGAAAAAAAGACTTTTAAAAAATTCTAAACTGCTAATCCTCATACAGTTTTTATTTGACTGCAACAAAATGTGATCGTTAGAAATCATTAGGATATATAATTTTTAATTTAATGCAAAACTAAAAAAAAAAAAAGAAATGTAAAGTACAAGTCTGCAAAGCTATAGTCTCCTCAGAGATTTCTGGTGAAATGTGATCTTATTTTGCTATTTTTGTAAAGAATTTTTCGCTCAAGCAAATTATTCAGATTGTATAAGATTTGTTTCTGTTTCAATTATATTTTAATAATGTAATCAGCATTTTTTTCAGACGATACCACATAAAACAAGTTCTAATAATGTGGTTGACCACATTACCAAATTTTCAAAAAATCAGTTTTTTTTTACCAGCAAACTTTTACCAAGTTCGTGAATTAATTAGTATAACCAGCTCAAATTATCACATAAAATGATGTGAGTACGATTTTTATAGACGTGCACCTTAAATTACCCGTTTTTGGTTCTTATTCTCTCCTTATTTGAAAACAAGTCATGTTAATGTGTTTGAATTAAGAAGTTAAAAGGTATCTACTGTTCTTCCGCTCACTTTTGAGTATTAATTTTTCAAAGTTATATCACGCAAAATCATCCACATGTACGAGAATGCTCTGAGTCAAATATCATATAAACATGTATATATATACAGTACATATATCACACATATTTTGACATTGTAAATGTTATGAAGTTTTTGATTTAGCTTTTAGCAAAAACTCACTCATTTGATGTTTCCTTATTATTAATTTATTAGATGATTACTGACGATCTTTGAGATATATTTAGATTTATTTCGATTCATGCTTGACTTTACAAGTTTGTTTTCATGTAAAAGAAATCCAACTAAATATTCAACACAATATATTGTTTGCACTCAAAATCTGGTGACACCCCCCCCCCTTTCCAAATTGACAGTGAAAGGGGTTTGAAAAATGAGAGTAAAGCGTTATTCACATAGCTGAATATATATGCTCTATTTTTAGGTTAATTGTAGCAAATAATCAGACAAAAAAAATCTGCTGCAAAAGGGGCGCATATACGTACCTAAACACTTTGTATTCTCAACAGATGTTTGTGAAATTGATCATATTGACCAAATGGCTGGTTTTCTTCAGCTTCTCTGTTTAGCAACATTAGTCCAAAAAATCTGCTTTATTTACAAATTCTAACGAATTCCAGAATTTGATGCATTATTGTTAGACATATACACGCGCGTCGAAAGCGAGAGATAATCTTCTTGGGTTCAGCGGAGGCATAGTTACGTGATTCACCCGTCGTCTGCTCACGGCCAAAAATTTCGAACAGAGTGGAACAACAAAGAATTTCATCTTTGACTCCATCTTTCTGGAAACAATGGAGACAGACCGTAAGTTGTAGATAAAAACCCTGATCGTATGTTTCTATTTATATACTATATGTAATTAAAATCTCGTGTTTTACGGCATTTTGTTTTGTTGTAGTAAGCTGCACTATGGACAATTACAAACATATGTCTTAATGTTTTGCAATCGTGTGTTTTGAAATCAGGCTCACCGAGTTCTAGAATGTTTCATATAATTTTGTCCTGAAGATTCCGATGTTGCAAAGGTTTTGTCTTGAGTCTCGTTTGGTTGATCTACAAGATTGTCAGAAGGGGGTTCATTAGGTGCGATATCGCACTCCTTCTTAACTGACAAACACCCACAATATTCTTTTTTATGACTCATTTTTCATATATTTAAAGAAATGTTTCAATTTTTGGTTTTAATCAAATATATTTTTAAAAATTGACTTCAACAAGTCTCAAAAACCACAGTAACCAAAAATTGTATCTTTTATACATATTTTTTTTGCCTCAGAGCAGGGGGTTTATGGACCCTTCCAAAGCCATCACAGCACCCCTTTCCAGAAATTCAGCATCGACCATATGTCAAATAATTTTATCCATATATCAAACTACAGTAATTACGGGTCCAAACAAAAGAAAACAGGGGAAATTAAAAGGCTAGTTTATGTAGATGCAAACTGAATAGAATATTCTAAGAACTATTAACCATAATGCATTAAAGATAGCTTTATTATTTTGTACATAGAATGTTTAGCTTGCGAGGGAAAATCTTGTCCTGACTACATAAATGTTGATTACTCTTTCCTGGAGAATTGCAGTCGGTACCCCCCCCCCTCCACCCCCGTCCCGACAAATGTGATAGAAATTTGCTTTTGTACATGTGTCTTTTACTCTGTTCTGGTTCAATTTTATTATTTTGAACCCATTTCTTTTAAACCTCAAACACAAACACGAGTACTTTTATATAGAATCAGCAAAGAATATACTTTTACACATTTTCTGATTATAATTTTCACAACAAATCATACATACTGAACAAAGACAGAGTAAAATAAAAGGATTAACAAAAGGTATATAGAAATCAAGAATCAAACAATTATTGAGCGAATGGTGACAATTTAGCAGCATGTATATAATAGAATCAAAGATGAAAGATTAAGTGTCAATAAATATAAACAGATGTCAATTAAGGGATTAACTGCATGTCCATCTCTGACTCTTTGGGATTAAGGCTGTTTTATATAATTTATCACATTTGCCGAAATAAAAGAAAAGTTTTGACAACAATTTACACAAAGTCCGAAAAGTTAATTTACACGGTAATTTAAAATAAGACCAAAAATGTTGTATTTTACACCGTAACATGTCCTCTGTTTGAATTTTATTATTTTGTTAGAATTATTTTTCAGATTGCACACATTTTCTTTAAATTTTGGAATTATTTAAAAGGTCCAAAAGTAGCCAAAAATAGACATTGAGCTTTGATGAAACTAGTATTGCTCAAAAGATGGTAAAATAGGTCACTACGAGTTTGTTCACTTGAAACTTGAACCATGATTGAAGTTATAAAAGAACTCGAAGGAAACTCTGCTGTTACAAGCTGTAACTTATGTCACTCCTGACTATCCCCAACAGTGCAATATTAATTGGAGTTCACATTGAAATATGGGTTTAACGTTGATGGTAAGTTTTCTATGAATGTTGATAACTAAGGAGGAACAATATCATATATATGACAGCGCGTATAACACCTTTCGATTGGAACATGTGGAATACTAATCATCACTTAGACCTCTTCGTAATTTGAGCACGTAAGAACTGCACCAAGGACCTCCGTACATGTATCTGCCATTGCTCCAAAGAGCGCTGACATATACTGTACCATGCCCCAAACTGCCAAAAGCTATCCAACATCATTTATCCCCTTTCTACTAATCGCGAAGATGTCTCCTTTGGTCACCCTCTGTCTCTCTTTCCTGGTGGAGTCCATCTTAAAACTACACCTGGTATAGCTAATGTTTCCGTTCTCAAGACTTGGCCAATCTATTTCCATCGTTTGTCTTTCATCTGGTCGGACATTGCAACTGTTTATGTTCTTGCATACAACACTTCATTGCTGTTATTTTCGGCCAGATCTTGCTTGGAAGGTGCAGCTTTTTGCTTGGTTAAAAACTTTCCTGGACTAACGATTCCAATAGCATTATATTTCAATAATATTTTTTGAGAAGACCATTCAAGTTGTTTGATTTGAATTTTCAGCTCAAAAAGAAAATGTGATAATGACAGGAGGGTCATTCACTGCCAGCGATGACACAGACTCAGTTATAACCTCTCAACCGCGCAGAACTTCGCGCATGGAAACTGGAAATCGGGCAAAAGCTATAACAGCGGGAAGAACAACTTTTGACGATGCACATTGTGAAAGAGACTGGGCCAGTGGACTTTGTCAATGTAAAAGTGATGATAGACGACATTGTAAGTAATTCTCATGAATTGATATCAGCTAGCTCCAAGCATGTTCAATCACGTTTCATCTTTATTTATTAACACTTAATGGATCTCGATAAGTCATTTCAAATACTCCAGCTCAGAAACGTTAGATGTTGATCCAAACCGAAATTTTATTTGACGTTTAAACATTGTTTTCTCATTATTAGAAATAGATAGTTTTAAGAACATTTCAAAATGGCGCGACCTTTCCATGAATAATCTATAAGCTTTTTTATGTTTGCATTGTCCTTTCTCTCTGTCTTGAAATTTTCAGGCTGCTGTTATTTATGCTGTTGGCCATACTTGAAATACTTAACGGCGACACGTCTTGGAGAAACCCCATTCATGGCTCTGATCCCATGCGCGGTGTTTGCTCTCCGTATAAAAGTTAGAACACTGTTCGGAATTAAGGTCAGTTTGGCTACAACAATTTATTGTATAGTTAAATATTTACATCAATTTGTCTAAACAAAAATCGCGATATTTTCATTAGATATATGTGTATTTTTTCCAGGGATCATTGATAAAAGACTTTTGCACCACCCTGTGTTGTGAGCCATGTGCTGTCTGTCAAATGAGTAAAGAACTGGACAGCATAGGGTTGTGATATTGAGACTGTACTGTACATCGATAACACATTTATCACTTTCATTGACTATATGTTTTCAGGATTTTGTATTTCAAATCCATTTTTGCATATAAGAATCTGATTTTATAACATTACTTTTAATATATATTTTGGCCCGTTGCACTCGTTTTACCGTTGGTAACTAAACGATCTTGAATCATTTATAAATGTTCTGTTGTGATTGAACAGTTTGTCACCGAGAATAACTTATTTTTTGGATATTGGCAAAAATTGTCACAATAACTTACATGATGGGAATGACTCATTTAATTACAACCTTGATATATGTAATTGATTAATAAGAGTCATTAAATGATTGATATGGAGTGTTTAAAATTGTTCTAGAACACGGTAACTGTGCCGTGTGCATGATGGTAGCATTGTCAGTACAAGCTGAAAGAAACCTGATTGAATTGAACTAGAAACAGTAACTATATGGTGCAATGAACTTGAGCTCTCTTAAAGTGTGAGAAACCTTTTGTCCTTTTTGCTGGCTACAAATTGGTGAGTCTGTCTGTTTGTCTGTGTTGAGGATATTTTTAATATTTTTGAAATGGCAATAACTTAAGTTTCTAAAAATTTACAGAAGACAATTATGGCGGCCATTTAAAGAGTCTAGATAATGATGCATGGACAAAGTAAAAGAACCATGTTTGCGAATTAATTTCAGTACCTTGTGTGTTATACTGGGGACATAAACGTTACTATTTACTGAAATCACAGGAGCATGACATGTATTTTTTAATCAGCATCTGAAGCATTGGGCCATGCAGAACAACTTTTGCGAAACAATAGGGTTATGCTTGTGATAGGTTGTCTTAAATTTTCAAAGCCGATGCAATGTTGCCCCAATTATAATTTATTTTGCCTAAAATAAATTCAGATTAATCTTTAATTGCTGATGACATTAACAACACATTAACAACACATTTGTACATTTAGTAGGATCCTGATCAATATAGAGTCCTTAACCAGGGTAATAGAAGTATAAGCTTGTCTAAAGCTAGCTGCAGATCTGTAGCTCGCTGGTCTGAAAAATTGGGATGGATGACCAGAGAGCTATATACAGTACCACCCATTGAAAAAAAAAATGTATATTTATTGCGCATAAAAGCTCATTTTTTGGATTCTTATCTCAACTGTTCAAAAGCTCGATTTCAAATTATTTCTTTACCCCTATCCACTATACTTTAATATTTCCTATCTGCACGAAGTGCATTGGACCAAATTATCTTACCGTCAAAATGGCAGTGTCACATAGACAACATTTTCGATAGTTTCCATTTCTGGTCCAAGGGTTCTGTTTGCAACGGTTATAATGAATGTTTTGTTGTGGAAATAGTACAAGAATATGTTAGGAACACATTCTGAGATGACGGTTTGAAAACCACGGAGAAATAAATTGAAAAACAGCGCATTTTTTTGTACACAATAAATATATATATAACATTGTACACTATTTTCAATGGATGGCACTGTAGCTCTCCGGTATGTTAATATATTTTTTCGGAGAGCTACAATTCTGCAGCTAGTCTAAAGCAATCCTCTGTCTTGTCACCAATTACAGATTGATGCCTATCGTTTAACGACCGTGTAAAAAATACCTCATTCGTATCGAATATTAGGAAAAAAATGTTTTTAGATAATTTGAATGTAAGTTTTGTGATGCGAGAAAAGGATAAAGTGTTAGAAAGTAATACCAACAAACGTATAAACAAAATAATTTTAGGATTGGTGCAAAAAAATAGCTTTTGACCAGAGATGTGTCTTGTTTTTTGTGCTAAGCTTGCATAAGATCATTTGGAAGATGCCAAGATAGATCAATGAGTACAAAGTACAATGTCATTTTAAAATTATTATTTTGACCACCATTTTCATATCAAGAAACATGAAAAACCTTAAACCAATGTTGCTTAAAACAAAACAAGTTTGCAATGATCTAGCCGAGGCAATTGCATGTCAACATGTAGCTACAGAACTGTAGTTCTCCGAAAAAAATGACGGACCGGAGAGCTAAAATATATTATATCAGACACAAAAAGAGTTTCTCACATGTTTTCAACTGTCATCTCAAATAAAATTGTGTATTTAATGCTTTCACTGTTTCCACAACAAAACATTCCCTATCATTTTTATTAATATCTCCCCTTGAGCTGAAATTTATTTCTCCATGTTTTCAAATTGCCATCTCAAAGTACTACTAACTGTGTGTTTCTACCAAATTCTTTCACGGTTTCCACAACAAAACATTCCTTTATTTACATTATAATTTTTGGATAATCCTAATCTCTGTTGAAATTCTATGCATCGAAAATTTCGGACTTTGTGTTTTGGTTTCAAAGAATAAGTCATTTTACATGTTATGGTTAATTATTTGATTGCTTATTTTCCGTAAAATTATATCTTTGACATTGATTTACCAATAAACATCAGGCACGTAGTCAAATATTTTCTCTTAGTTGCTCTCCTCCAGTATTTAAAAAACTGTTAATACAGTGCCTGAGAAAAATGCAGTGAAAACAGAAAAAAATGTCTTATTCAAGTTTAATTCTTTATTGTCAACATATTTGCTGCATATTGGCTGGTTCTTTTACTCCTAGCCAAGAAATATTGGAAGATTACATTGTAAATTAGCTAACTATACCTAAAATGTCTCAAGGGTAAATGTGTTTGTTATTGTACATCAGATGGTTTGAGAACAATGAAAGCTTGCACCATTGTTATGTGGCATGTGTAAAAAGCTCTGCCAAATTGTTATCGCTGTTTATACGCGCCCATTAAATGATCTTCCCATTGATTTCATTAATCTTCATTTTATTCTGTTTGTTGAATAAAAAATCAGTTAGGTCATTTAACATAAAACATTATTTGAAAAATGCAGTCAATCTTGAAACATCTTAATCTAAAAGTCAAAATCTTTATTTTATAATAAATTGAGGTGGAAGAAATAAGACCTCAAGCAGACCAAAATTGAAATATTTTTAATTTTGTTTCACAGAGGTGTTGTTTTGTGCAAATTAAAAGAAATAAATTGATAATTAATAAAATTTAAAATTTTGAGTTTGTCACGGCGCCATCCAAATTTAATGTTCTTTGTACGGATTGTTTTTGGTCTTTGAAAGATATATTGTGATCAAAGAAATTATATAACATATATTTGTTTCAATTGTTGCAAACCACGTAAGAGCTTTTTAGAAGTTAATAGTTCATTTTGGCTTGTTTTAATTCCTTCGTATAGATGTCAGCTACGAGAGTACTTGATAGAGGAGCAAGGATTTATGTTTTTAAATCAAGCTTTTTGCAATTGAAGTAAAAATTTGGAAGAATTAATCCAGATTCCAGTGCATTTTTTCCTGCAATAAATATACAGTTTTTTCGATGGGTGGCACTTAGCTCTCCGGTCGGTCAATATATATTTTTTCTGGGAGCTACATTTCTGCAGCTAGTCAACATGTGTAGCTTAGGGTCTTTGAAGCGGAGAAGTATTGGAAGGTTAAGTAAAACTAACTATACGTAGCTAAGGGTAAATTTGTTTGTTACCAGGTGGCAAATTGCACCATTGTTATTTGGCGGAAAAAAGTGAAAATCGTTCGGTTTGAATAGTGAAAACCTACAAATGCCAAATTTTTGTAAAATAAATGACAGTGCTTGGCCTGGGGTTGAAAATGATCAAAGGATATATCGTGACCTTGAATCTAATTCATTAAGACGAGGTCAACAATGTTCAAAAAACCATATTTGATAGATTCTAGTAAAAGGTTTAAAGTTTGTACGCGATAATCCATGTTTCACAACCGTAAACTATACCACCTTGACACGGATTAGTTGTGATCAAGAATCAGTCACAGATTTTATCAATTGTTACATAAGATTTGTAAACTAAGTTAATAACTAATGCCATAGTTTCACTTGTGAAACTATGGTAACAACTCTTAACCATAGTTTACGATTGTTAAACTATAGTTTTCAAACGTGAATCTTCTCCATTCAAAAAATCTTTGTTAACACATTACCAGATACAGTTAGATTATCATTCGTAAACTAATTACCAACCGTTAAATATAGTTTTACAGATGAAAACTATACTTAACGAATTTAAAATTGTTTTACAAAGAGGAAGTTATTTTAATTTTTTTTTATGGTTTAGCTATTTTTGTTTTTTTGGCATGACAGTCAAAATATAATATGACAATTTTCATTTTGTTTTTGATGCAGTTACAAAAGTCGGTACAAATTAAAAAGTACCATTTGCAGTTTTTGTAATGCTGTTATTCTGTAATAATAAAAACAAACAGAAGAAAAAAATAGTGACAACATATGTAAATATCGGTAAAATTAATTATAATGCTGATCGTGGTTTTTGTTTTACCGTGGTTGTTTTTTGTTACGATAAAGCAAATTGAAAAAAAACCACAGACAAATTCCAGAGGCATAATTTAAGACTGCACGGATGCAAGGAAAGTTTAGAATTCCCCTGTCTTAATTTGACTGTAAATTCTAACATGTGCCTCAAATATAGGGTAGTTCTAATTGCAAATGAATATTTATATACTTAAAAAATTGGGGTAATAGAAACCCCTTTTTCAAAAACTGATTTTATTTCACCTGATAAATAAATAATTTTCTATTCAAAAGTACAACTTTTAAAATTTATACCACAATTAGGTTAATCAGCTGATTCAGTAATTTAGAATAAACGTGTTTGAAATAATCTCCATATTTCAGACTTTGATCGAGATGTTATTATCATTGCTGATCCCGGAAATCTCTATGAAGGTCATTCTTAATATTCTTAATATTCTCCTCGAGTAAATTTGATGGCTGAGAGCGTTTAAGGATTTCTCTTTCTCGTAATTAATTTACGGTCACGATTAACACGCATTCATTACACGGGTCAAAGACAGGTGTGTCAATACACATATAATAATGCTTTCGGGGGGGACATTTGCATTGTGGAAGTGCATTCCCGTGTCACAGTGGTTTAAGAACCCTCTATATATATAATCCAGAAAAAGGGACTGGAAGAAACATTTCATACTTGTCACCTGTTCCTAGTAAAACAAAATCATGGCAAGGCTTTTCGTACTTACGTTGGTTTTCATAGTTTTAGGTGAGTACCAAATGTTTATGACAATCTATATGAAAATGATTTCGAAGAATTGTGTGATATAATTTTGAGTTATATTTCTGTAAATACAAACAAAGCTTCAATTTTTTTTTTTATACTTTTTTTTTAATTTATTTTTTTTTTGTTTACTTTTTTGTTTTTGTTTTTGTTTTCTTGTTTTTGTTTTTTTGCTTATTTTATTTTCTTTTCTCTATTATTTTTAAAAACTTATTTTTTTTCGGAGGAAGTGGGGATGGGTTGGGTAAAAAAAAGGCACCCCTCATCTTACCAAAAATTGGATATCATTTTCATTTTGGGATTATTTTCTCCAGGCTCAATCAATTGTCAAGAGGAAGAAGAACCAACAGGCAATTGGGAACAAATAGTATTCGAAGGAAGTCAAAACAATGCCGAGGGAAGTCAAAAAAATGCCGAGGAGAAAGAAAAACCGACATTTGATGACTGTGAATGCAGGGAAGAAAGCAAGGAATGTCCAACAGATTATGTCCATGAGGAGTATAAAAATTTCGACAAGAGGTGCACAATAAAACATCGATTTGACACAATTGAGCGACTGGATTACAAATGTTGCTTACCTAGGCATTTTTTCGAGGTTTATCCACCGGGCGTCAACGAGGTAAATTAACAAAGAACTCCTTACTTATTTTATTGCAGTGTAGTTTCCTAACTTAAAGAAAACACTGAAGTTTAAGATCTGGGGAAGGGGTGTTAAACAATATGTTACATTAAAAGTTAAATCTTATCAATAATTATATATGTTTGCTCCTACCCTCCTTCCGTATGGAACTGAATTTGAATATTTAGTAATTTCATTTTAAGTAACACATCACAGGCATTTGTTTCGTATACGGGGCACCCAAACTTATTTTTACCACGTGAAAATAAGTAAGGGGTGTCCCGTATATGAAATAAGTACATGTGTCGTACATGTATGCATATGATGTAAAAAAAAAAATGTAGTACGGCTTTGTTTGCTTACACTTCTATTTTTTTTTTTACAGGGAGGGCGCTGATATTGAAGTTTGTTCCATCCACGTCCTTTTGTATCCAGTTTGGTGTATTTTTATGTTTAGAATTAGAATACAATTATTTATATTTACAAAAGTCTTGTTTTGTCTTTATATCAACTATAGCTTAGCTTAGATAGAGGGGGGTTGACGTTTTATTCTTATTCAAGCTTTAGCGATGATCCATTGAAAAATTAAAATTGATTTGGATAACTGCATGCAGAAAGGTACAGTGTCAAATAGAAACCAGCTCGGAATGCGACCTTTCTTTTGAATTGTATGCTTAAATTCGAAGAATCAGCTCTACCAAGCCCCTTTTTTTTCTCCTAGAATTAAATATTAACTGCTTTTAAGAACAAACTTTAGACATAATGCGCTACAACATATTCTATACATCAGATGTGGATTCTCGAAAACCCAAAGAACTTTTACTTAATTTAAAATCATTTTTTTTTAATTCTGTGATTTATCAAAAAAATTCCATTGTGAAAAATCCTTAGTGATATTAACATTTTTTGGTCTCTGGAGACCAAGACTTACAATAAACTGTTGGAATAACGATTGGCACTACTTGTGCCCCTTCATTGGCCGACCTGTTTATATGTTTCTATGAAGCTTACTACATGTGAATTCGATATTAAGTATCCTCAGAATGTTATCCATTTGATGCATCTGACTGGGAAAGATAAGGACCAAATACCGAATTATATGACGAAACAATACTTCCCATCATTAACTTTACTTGTTTATGCATAACTTATTCAAAACCAAGGTGCATGCTGTTTCATTTAACACCAGAGAAAATTTGTTTGCTTACGATGAAGCTTTGAGCTTTCGTTACATTAAAAATAGCCTTTTCAAATTACAAATTTGTTCGTAATATGTAGAGATCAGTTAAAATGAGTATACAAAAACAAAATCATGTTCCTGTTCTACTGCTAAAATCAGATAAGTTGGTGTTATAAAAACCGACATTCATCATTTCAACTTCTTTGATAGTCAGCATTTCGTAAATTCTTTTGTCGCTTTAATGACCTTTTGTTAGCTTATATATAATTCTATCTTTGGGTCGTATTTTGGCTGATGTGTTATATTCCAATTCAAAGGGCTTTGTTTTTATACCGTATTTTTACTGCGGAATATTCCGTCCGCCAGGTCAATACACAGCCTGGCTCACTCGGGTATGAACGGTCGTCGATTACTATTGGTCATCGTTACCGTTTACTTTATCCAGACATAAACAACACCTGGAAACCATAGAAAATTATACGCACCGAGGTTTAAATAAATTATCCAATTTGTTTGATTTTATATATACACACTAATATAGCATGAATATATAAAACCAAAGAAAACATGAGGATGATGTATTCTTTCTGCTATTTTGCAAATATTTACCGCCTCATTAACAAACCTAGATTTTTTAAAATGTTGGATTGAAAATCTTGTGAATTCAGTAAATGCGCGCAGTAATGGAGTTGATGTGTGCATCAAATAAATTGCTGGTTTCGTCTTTTGAGCTAATATGCGCATCATAAGAATAATTTGTTTGAATTAATGAGAGAATTTCTATAGATGCGCGCATCAACTGGATTGGTATTTGATGAGTGCGGATTTCCAATACTTGCTTCTTTGAATTAAATTTGGTTGCATATATACATGTGTTGAGCTCAACAATTTGGTGCAAATTACTGCTGCCAAATTTCACTTGAGAAAAAAAAGATTCGAGATAGGGATATATTATTTCTTTTTTTAACTCACACTTGAAAAAAAAAGGGGGGGGGGGTCTGAAAATAAACTATTTTCTTGATTTGTGCCATATAAAAATAACCATCATATTTTAGATGATTTTTTTTAAAGTAAAGTTGGAAGTGTGTGTGTATTCGTTCTTTGTAGCTGGTTATGATTGGACGATAACTTTATGAGAACATGACAACAAGGGAAATTTAGACTGTGTTCTTGTGGTCTATTAGTTACCCTGTCGACAACCTTTACGTTGTTTGTTTGTTTTTTATTACTTCCTGTATTAGTGTTATCCTTTAACCCACAGCAACATGTAGTTCATCACATAACTCTATATTAATTTGCCGTGTTCGCTTGTCGCTTTGCGCCATTATGAGCTATAAGGAAGAAATAAAAGTGATATTTCATGAGCTTGCATTATTATTAAATACAAAATCATTCATATCTTAAATAATGCAAGTACCATCTGCATCAAAAAGCGACAGGGGAAAATTAAGTAATTTTACCATTTCGAAATAACCTTTGTCCCATCCTGTTTTTTTTTTTTTAAATCCGTATAGAATTTGAATACTGCAATTATTTTACCTTTTTTTAGATTCCGTAATGCAGTTTTACCTCTTCAGAAGTTAGTTATAAATGTCACCATTAACGTCATATATCTTCTTATTTATGTTTATTAATAAACTTACTTATATTGTCAAAAACGTCTTCGGTTTTGTTTAAGGTACCGAGTCAAAGCCGTTGTTTTCTGATTTGAGGCTTGGGATTCAGATGTAAGTGTGAATTTGAATTGAACAAAAAGTAAAAGGGTTTAAAAAAAAGTTTTATAGTTCAACATGTACCAATGCTTGTTATATTACTGTATGAAATAAATTCACAATTTAATACAACAGGAAATTAAATATAAAAAACTTTATTCTTTATTGGGTGTTCAGTATTCTTGCTTTTATCGTTAATCTACGATATGTGTGCGTAAGGGGGGAAGAGGGAGTGTGTGTTTTTAATTCAACATATAAACTAAGACTTTATCAGAATTTAAAAAAAGAAAAAAATATATATTATATATATATTTTAAATCACAGGGGCGAGAATAGTTATAAGAAGAAGAATAAAATGTTTCAATAATTTATGTAGGAAAATAGAATATTACCCATACAACTGTATTTGATATGAAATTCTGTAACAAAGTAAAAGTCCATGACTTTAAGATGAAAAAAAAATGAAGCGAATTAGGAAAATTTATCATTTGAATGATTCAGCTGTATGTTGACGTCATCATCGATGCATATGTGAGCAGGCAAGATTTCGAAATAACCTGATCAAAATCTAAAAGTTAATGAATGTGATCTGATTATAACTAACACATATATTCAATCTGATCTCCTAAATTTATGTAAAATCTGAGTCATATGATTTAGAAGCGACTATAGGCATTTACATTTCTGACCTAAATTAGAGACTTCGGTGCCCCAAATATATTTAAAATGTTTGCTTGCCCTCTTTTGATTCATGATAAATACATCATCTCAAGCCACGGTCCCGAGTCCGCATATAGCTCTCTCCTACCCGTTGCCAGAAAGGTAGCTGCAATCTATAGCGTTATGGTTCTTTTTATATTTTACTCTTTGACCATACTAATATATAAAACCATAACGCTACGGATCTGCAGCCACCAGAAAGGGGGAGTATCGTACATTTTCGCCGTGGTTTGCGACGATGGATAAAAAGATGGCAAGAGCCAAATGCAAAATGAGAAAAAAGCGAGGTCAAGGTCAATGGGATTGATTTTTCATAACTCGAAGACAGATCTGTAGCTTGCTGGCCTGAAAAAGAAAAATCGGGGTAGATGGTTTCAGAATTGTCAATTCAGATCTAAATTTATGCTTGATATTAACCTTCGAAATTGTTTTCAAGTAATACATGTGTAGTAAAAGATTAATATCTATATAATATAATAAGTGTAAATTGGATGAAAATCCAAAACCAATTTAATGGAATTTTTCAGAAAATTTACATTAAAAAAATTGTCCAGAATAAAGCTTGCAATGGACATAAGAGCCCGACGTCAATAAATTCTTCGGACGATCAGCTGCAAAATTTGGACAATGGAATAGTTCCTAAACGTTTCAAAAATTCGTTCACTTAATTAAATAAATCTGCAATCGTACTGAGCATTTACTACGCAGCAATTAAATCCATCATATATGGGCACATGGACAATTCAAATAAGCCCCCCAAAAATAAAATTATTTTAAGATATGCAAGTTAGTGTCGTAAAAGAAATTAAATTATAATTAAATTGACAGTTCTCAACATTAATTACTTCATGCCAATAAAATTTTCTATGCAGTATTCACGTGCGTATTATAAGTTATTGAAAAGAAAATTGTCCAAAAGAATGGATTTGAAAACCATTTTTTTTTTTCAAAATCTCTTAGTTACCTTTTTTTTTCCAGTTCAAAAGTACTCATTATAAAATTTGTCCCAATCGGAAACACCCTTCACAAAGGAAGATTTAACCTCCCCCCTTTCTTTTTAACAGAATATGATACTCGAAACTGCAAAAAAGGTGATGATAATGTCTCTCGCATGTCAAGATGCACCCGCAACAGTTTCAGGTACCTGTTATAGTTTGTGGTTCAAAACGCCAACAAACAAAGACATTTGTGGACAGTTTAAGTCAATGCCTCAAAGGGAAAAAAAGGCCCCTTTTCTAGGGACATTAGGTGAAAAGTCAAGGATACGTGTCAAACTTTTTTTTTATTATTATCGAAAGGCGATGCTCGGTTTTGTGCATAATTGTAGCTTTTACTAGTATTTCTTTAATTATTCTTACATATTTGTATAATCTATACATTTTTTTAATCCCAAAAAATTATACATTTTCATAAAAATCGTAAATTTTTGGTATATAATTCTCAAACATTACTTAGAATCAATTTAGCCTAATTAATATATTTCAATAATTGTTATATATATGCATGTACTTCATAGTTGATGACAACTCATTAAATATTTTAGACAACTTTGAATTTAAAATAAAGTTTGTCATGTGGGTAAATGTTAACAACTTTCGTCGCTCAATTGATCGTACTTTATTTCAATAAAAGAAATTTTCCGACGAATGTATAAATTGTATTAAAAATATATAAGTTGTTATTAAAAAAAAAGAGAAAAGAAACACATGCATCATCTTCCTCTCATGTTCAATATATTTCTTCTTCCGCAGCCCTTACCTGATGGTGACGTTATAACAAACAGAAGTCAAAGGAAATGTGTGTGAAATAAATTTCAGTTTCAAAGAGCCCAGCTTGCGGGAAGTTTACATCGGAGACATTCGTGTATGGTACAGAAAATCGCTTGCTCCTCCTACGTTTTACATTGATGTGCATGTCTGTCTGTTATTTAGAAGTTAATGATGTCGGTCTTCATTCATGAAAAATTACGTCTTACATATATACATGAAGCATTTCATATATTGAACAAGAACCGTTAAGAATCACTTTCCTACGAACTAATGTTTCTTAATTATTTTGAAATATATGTATACATGCATAATATATAAAGCTATAACCTGTCTTTTATACAAAAATAAAACAAGATGTGAGTTAGAAACACCAGTAACCCCGAATGGCTAGTTATAGCGATGGTTAAAGTTTCGCAAATGCAAGTCAAACTTCAAAGGTCAAGTTCAAAATTGTAAGAAGGTCTTGTCACTAGGAATATACCTGTAAAATACGCAAGCCCTAGTACTAACCCTTCAAATATTTGACAGTTTTTAAGTAAGTTGTCAGCTTCTTAAATTTAATAAGTAAAGGTTTTCGAGTATGAACTGATTGATGAACTTGCATGTTCATAAATCCAAGGGCCAAACAGGTCCTTGGCGTGTCTAGTTCTTTATGTCTCACTGTTAAAACTATTTCATACAGTATAATTAAAAAATGATAAAAAGAGAGAATAATTATGCCTAGATCTTCTGACCTGATAATTTACAGTGTACTTATAGATCTAACAACATATAATTTAATTCAAATATAATTAAATATAATTTAATTCATAAGTACAATTTATTAAAATGGTTTATTCCCTGAACGTCTACTCATTATAAAATTATTCAATTATCACACTCAATTAAGAGGTCCTCTAAGGGGTCCAGGTAGAGTTAACCTGTGTTACCTTGATGTGATTAAATACTTTAATATTTATCTTCATATACAATAAATATTTTTTATTTAAAAAAAACTTTTAAAATTAGAAAAAGAAAAAGTACTAAACAAGACATGTAAAGATAATTTTTGACAACTTATCTTCAAAAATAATTTCAAAAATCCAATTTAATTGGGGGTGAGGTCACTGAGGTGAGGAATTTCAGAGGCCTTATCTTTTAAGCTTGCCGTTAATAAAGGTACAGTATTAATATCTAATAAAACTGGTCACAAATAGCAAGATAAGCGGTGTTTTTAATTGTTGCTAAAAATTATTTATGAAAAATATACATCAATTGATATGGATAAAATCTTCAAAAATTAATAATAAAATTTTGGTGTAGAATCTCTCCTTTAATAAATACAGGTGTAGATAATTCAGGTAAACTCTACCTGTACCCCTTAGAGGGCCCCTTAATTGAGTGTGATAATTACATAATTTTATAATTAGTAGACGTTCAGGGAACACACCATTAAAATCTTTGTTGGAGACAAATGTTATTTCTTAAACAATTAAACATAAATAGGGTGATTGATAGACATGTTATTAGAATTCTTTGTCAGCTCTTCGATTGAATTTAAATCGTGTGTATCGTTTATTCATGTCCGAATTTTCCGAAATGAAATTGATCTTAACTTTTGACATTGATCAGCGACACCCTGCAATTATGTGTTTAAAAATAAAACTAAATCCAAAAAACGATGTCAACCCCGTCCAAAAGTCGCAAAATATAATCATATAAACATCGAAAAAAGATGATCAATATCAAGTACTGATTATTTATTTTTGTATAAAATCAAAATCACCACATATAATTATCCGTGTACATGCAATAGAAATAAAATCTATTGTGTATAATTTAATGTAAAAAGTGTCTCAATTGGCTGGGTGCAGTTTAGTTGAATATGTAGTATAATAAACAGTTCCCGCTCAATTCGAGAATTATATAACTCCAAAATAATTCGTTGCAGAAACAACAATTTCCGTTCATCAATACTTTGTTGTCTTTGAACAATTTTTTCGGGACAAGATGGTCATCTTTATAAAATATAATTTTATTAAAGTCCAAATTAAAAACAGTATTCATTAGTTGTATATATAGTTAAATCCTTAATAGTAATCCGTGGAAAGCTGAAATATCAAAACCCTCTTTAAATTTAAAAACTGAAAACTTTAAAATTAGAGCTGTCGACCTTTGTAAACTTTATAAATCCCGAGGTACGGATATTTTATTTTCTATTATACAGCCAGGTCTTCAGTCAGCGAGCAATAATGTTGACTGGAATGCGGGGAGGTGGTTTGTTCAGTAAATCAGTCAAACCGTAAATATGTTGTGGTAAACCTACTTTAAAGGAGTAATTTTCAATTATTGAAAAATTTGGTTAAAGGTAATTAACTTTACTTAAAAGATACACAATGGCATATACATGAACATACATAAAAGCACGAACATGCATTTTATAAAGAGACTTTTAAAACCAGAACATACATGTATATTTCATTTTTTTTTAATAAAAAAAAATTGAGATCAAAATTTTGATCAGTTGGGTATTTTCACAGGTTTATTTATTGTGTCATGACCTTTCCTTGGGCACCAAAAGTTTTAACTTTTTGTCCTTGACCTTGGCATTAACCTATGTAATATCTTTTGAATGATTGATGTTAGGGTTCCATGTATATTTCACATCTCTATTCTGTCTGACAAAATCTTCCCTAGGGCACCATATATTTTTTTCTTTTGACCTTGAAATCTTACCTACTTTTGAATTTTTTTTTAACATTGGCCATGACTTTGAAACCTGATGCTAGGCCTTTTATATTTAACAGGTGTATTCCAAGTATTAGGAACTTTCTTGAGGTGCCAATATTTTTTTTTTTATCTCTTGCCCTTAGAGGTTTACTTGCATTTGAGAAACTAATCCTGGTCATTAGGTCTCTTAAAAGGACTCGGTGTTTCACAACACATCTTCCTCTTTTTCCAATGAACAGCCAAAAATACATTTCAAAGCAAAGCAATATGACAAACAAGTATTGGAAGTTTTTAATATTAATGCACAAGCTTCCCAAGAAAATCACAATTCATCACAACCAAAGTCACCATGCAAATGGCAGGAAAAAAACTAAAAATTATGCAAAATGTACATTTTTTCTGGAAAAGTAACAAGTAAATCAATATTTCAAAACAAAATAATTCATCTTGAGATTCCTGTTAATATATTCTAAAAGTTTTGAAACATGTACAGTACAATATTTAATGCTACAAGAGATCAGGTCCCTTAATATCGAGATACCTCTTTAGTTTTAATTGGACAATGAAACATTATAAAGCCACAACTCAAAAGTTTTTTGGCATACCCTTTTCAACATATTAAATTTACCAAGTGTACAAAAACTCACTATTTTCAAACAATCTTTTTTTTCCATTTGGCATTCAACAGTATTTTTTTTTTACATTAATTAAATGTAAAATAAAATTTGGCATAATTAACCTAATCAATATAATTTTAGTGGAGAAAACTACTGCAGCACCAAGCTATATATATTCATATTCTGAATAAATTTGAAAAAAAAATATTTTGACAAAAAATCAGTATTGAGGTATGCAGAATAAAACCATTGTTATACAAGTTCATTTTTTTAAAAATAAAATCTTTAAAAAAACAACCCTTTCTGGTTTCTGCAAAACATAATAGGCAAAATAAAACAAATGTCAAATCAAGAATAAATGCAAACTACTATAGAGCAACAAACCTGAATCATTATGACTAACAGAGCTGAACTTGACTATATAAATATACATGTTAAGTAAACAATACTGCACATGCAGGACATAAAGGCAATCTGAAAAGAGACAAAAAAATGATATGTATGTTCTAGTATATTATAGAAGTGAATACAATTCTTATGTCCACATTATAAAATTGCAAGATTACATGCAAACATTTTGCAAAGATCTTTATTTGTTTGTTGTACACGCATATACCTCTGGGTCCGAAAAGTGTCCTTCCGTAAACTGAGGCAAGGGAGTCTACTCCATACATTAATCATCACAAATACTTTTTTTCCCCCCAAACAAGATTTTGAACAAAAAGCACATTCAGTTGAACTTCAGTATCTCAACCACTGATATCTCCAATACCATGGGTATTTCAGAGTGAATCGGAGGTCCCAACCACTTAGCCTTTAAGTTTAAATTAATCCTTGATATTTCAAATACATTTACTCATGCTAATTTCAAAGTTGTTTTCTTTTGTCAAATCAAGTTTCAGATCAGGAGGTTTGACTGCATGTGCATGTATAGAAGATGTCCATATTTATGCAAAATGTAGTAGTATTTGAAAATAATTTTAAAAAAGGGGGAGGGGGGAAACAGACCTACAAATCTTTGTAAATAGAACAACGAAAAATTAGCTTCAGTCTAACAATAGTTGGAATGAAATAATATCATTGAAAAAAAAATCTCCCAAGATTTTGGTATAAATACATATACATGAATAATGATATGAATTCTTTGAATATCTACACTGTACAATAATAAGAGACTTAAAACCCAGTTAAACCATTATAGCAATAGATTTGTATGCAATAAGCAATTAAGATTATAGAAAACAGATGAAAGAGAAATTGGACCAGATCATCCCTGGAGAGCTTCAAATACATTTCTTTCAAATGACGTATAAATTGATGTATTAATTAATCCCTGAAAAAACTAAGTGCATGCTATTATGTAAATCATTTGAGGATTATTTAAGTATTTTGTTCATAGAAAGGATCAAACTAACAAGCAATCTATAAATGCATTATTTCTCTAGTAAATGCCCCTTAAAATACTGATAAATAAAAATATACCCCTTTTCCCTTCCCAACACACATATACAAACACACATGTCACATACAAAAATGGAAGAAAGCTAGCAGGAAAAAAATAATGGAAGAATCAAAATGAAGCAAAACAATGTGTATATAAACATGTAAAGATTAAAAAAAGGTTATATAAGAAAAGAAACACTGGTAAAATAATGGCTAATGATGGAAGAGTTGGATTTTTTGAGACAGTGAAAAAATTTACAATGATGTAATTTTCTCTTGGTGATAAATACTGACAATGTTAAGTTTGGACATGGAAAAAATACTGTAAATATACAGCAGCTCAGCTGAGTGAAATTCACAAATAGCAAAAAATGTTACAGATATATTTCATATGGACATAATCTGTTTTTAAAACAGACAACTTATATCACTGATAAAATTATTTTCAACTGGTATATTTTCAATTACATGAACTTCAAGGCTATTCATTCAAATTAATATCATATCAGTGTACCATTTCATACCTTGAATATCAGAACCATTCAAAATACACTGCTGTTGGAATTTATTTCAAATGTTCATTTCATCAGAAATGCTCTTTTTATGCAAAAAGTGAATATGATTCTGAAACTTGAAACCTTTACTTCAAATCCTTCTTGAAATAGCTTTTTTTTTTCAAAATATTGAAATATACTCATTTAAGCTGCCCCAATTACTATACAGCTACATACAGACATACAGAAATGAAAATCTACCAGTTGAAAATTCATAACTCTTCCCCTCCTTGGCAGTATATAATTTTCGTTCAGCAGTTTTGAGCAGTTCATGGAACAAAAAAATTCTTATAAACACAGAATGGACAAACATGCTAAATGGAATGCTATGATAGACTGTTGATGACTGTTGATATAGACTGCAGGTTATAACTGGCTTGTCTGATGGCTACTGCTAGCAGAGACACTTGGGTCCGCATTCTTGACCAATCACCGGAGCTTTGTCCCCTGTCAAACCCCCAAATAACCCCCGGGAATATCTGAGTCTTGTACAGATTTTCGGGATGTGGTGCCACAAGCACATTTCTGAAAATAAGAAAAATTAGATAGCATATGTAAAATGGTTTCAAAACTGCAAAAAATTCTGTCATATTATGCAGTCTGTGGTTTTATTTTAGGACTGGTAACTAAATCATGTCTGTTTGCATAATTGCCATTTTTTTTAATCTTTGCAGATGACAGTGATAAAATACTCATAAAATTGACTTTTATGATAATGACAAAACTTCTTAAATTCATTTTATGTATCACTCTTATTTTATTTAACATTCAAAGCAGAAAATACACATCCAGACTAAATAAGTGAGATATAAATATTAATTAATACTTCAATTACTTCTAAGGATTTCTCTATAACAACTGTCACACTGTTTAAGTGCAAGCAGTACAGGTGTTTTCACTTGGGATGTTTTCAAATATTCACCTATTTTACAATGTACAGCAAGAGGATGCAATATGTCATTTTTATGCAATGTCATATTTTCTGGTAATTCCTTTTTCTAAGAAAAATATGTATCATATTTAAAAAAAACCTGTTTAATGTTTTATAATTTTGGTAATATGACAGAGTATCTTCTGAACAAACTCTGTACTGAGTCCAAGAATATGGTAGTGACAATATGAGCTCAAAAAGTTTTTTTTTTTCTGACCAATATCTTGTGTGTGACTTTGAAAGAGACAAAGCAATAGAAATAGAGAGTGAGAGAGAGAGAGAGAAGAGGGGGAACAGAAACTAAAAAAAAAATCTTAGACTGTACATGTATGACAACTCACCTATATTGAGGAAATTCTGGAAGACCACTGCTAACAATAAATATTCTTGGTAGTTGAATAAGATTGTCATTTATATCATAGAGAACTTCTTCACTGGAAACAGAGAAAAAGAAATAAAATTGGGGTTTAGCATAATTAGTAAAAGTTGTTGCTAAAAAAAAGGGAAAAATTTCACTAGAATGCTAAATTAAATTATGCACCTGCAAAAAATACTCACTTTAATTTTGATTTATCCAAATGTGTTAAGTTTGTTTGTAATAATCTGGCTCTGTTTGAAAACTTGTCAATTTCTGAGAAGAGAAAACCTGTGAAGAAAATTAAATTTAATTATTTTTCTTCTTCAGCAAGATTTGATGCTCTTCCTCATTATATCCATTTTGTGTTCCAAGTTTCTGAGGTTTTTTTAATTGCACATATATTTTAATCAATCTTTATTCCCTAATGAGAAGTTAAACTTGAGAAAAATTCTTTTCTCTGACAAGTTTTGTGTCTCAATCCTTTTATTTTAATTTAGAAATTTCATTATAGAAATGAAATGAACATATATGCATAAAAACAATAGTTTGTTCTAGTAAAAAAAACAAAACAAATTAAGTGTATACGAGGGCCTTTCAAAAATTAAGCGGACTTGTTGCACAGAAAAAATATTTGACGACATAATCGGGCAAAATGTCACACATTAGATAAAAGAATCTTTACTTATAAGGTCTTCAAAATTTCATATCAATATGTTGTAAATTGGTATCAATTTTGAGTGATTTTTCAGGATATATCATTAAGTCACGGAGCAGCAAAATCTTCGACGTGACAGGCATTATAAAAAAAATTTCTCAAGATTTTCCCAAGCGTACCTGTACAGTTTGAGTTACCTTATCTATTCAACATCCAGACACCATTTCTTGTCAAGCTTAAAATCTATTAAACAAGTAAAGAATATTGTTTTTTTTTTGTTTTAAAACCAAAAACTGCAGGTATTTAAGAGATATAGTGTGGTATTGGTGACTCTCAATCACGTTCTTTACAGTCCGGATCAAGTTTTTGTCGAAAATCTTCTTCCCGTTCTCCCGTATAGCCTTTTTACAGAGGTCTAACGGTCTAAAATTTCAATTTCCTATTTGTGGACGAATGTCACGAATACCCTAGTTAACAACATGTTTTATTATGCATATTTTTAATCTATGTGGGCGATATCTCGAGCATTACACATAATTTAACAAAAATGTGGTGCGCCATCAATTCAGGAGACACCATTTTCACAGTCGTTTTCACGGGAATCGCATCAGAGAAAAAACACTATATTTCTGTTAGTACTTCAAATATCACGTCAGAAATCTAAATACATAATAATAGAACAATTTCAAGATAATTTGAGAAAATTGTCGAAAAATATCGCGAATTATAGGAAATAAATGAGTTAAATTTTGGATTCTGCATGCTTTTGCTTCAAATGTTTTGTCGTGCTCCGTACCTCTCCATCAGCGATATCAACATACCAATAATTTTAGTAGAATTTTTTTAAAATACAGAAATTTTGCCCAAAATTTAGATACATATTTCTGTGAAATTTCATAACTATATGACGTCTGTAAGAGTAAATAATAGCACAGTCCGCGTAATTTTTGAACAGCCCTCGTAAAATTTGCAGAAAAAGATTCCATGCTTATTAATTACTGATTTTTCTCCAACTCTGTTCCTTAATTTTATTTATTGGATAATTTAGACACTCAGAAAGTCTTGTGTTAGAGAAAACCCAAAAACTAGTTTGCCCATGTTCTGGAAACTATTTGCCTCACCTAAATTTACATATGTTGAATTCATCTCCATACTCTTTAATTTATTTTTCCCTCTAACAAGTAAATCTGCAATATATTGAACATTAAATGGAATCAATGCTGAATCACTGAGGCGTAGAATGACGTCTGCTACAATCTGTGTGACTTTGACATGGAGAGTGTAGTTATTCCTGTCTGTGAAATTTGTGAGATAGTCTTTTGTGTCCTCCAATGTATTGAAAGCTGGATAACTTGGAAGGTTTGGATATTTCTGAAAGTGAGAATAGAAGATTTCGTTACATTCAAGCTCATCATATAGGCCAAAGTGCCAAACCAATTCCCAAATCTTCATTAAAACTCAACAAAAATTTTTTTAACTTATCCAATCTCCTGCAGTCAGAACAATTAATAAACATCCTAACATTTTGACCCTGAACTCTGACTGAATGAAACAGAAATCTATAGAACATAAATCTAAGAAATGAAAATTTTATACGGCACCAGCTTTCAAGAGTTATTTCATTTAGCTTGGAGTTAAGTCCTCAACCTTTCAAAATTTTTAGTGATAAAAAAATTGAAACAGTACAAATTGGGAACGTGGAACTCTTGAATATTAGAGGTGGGATCAGGTGCCATTGAGGAGTAAGTATTCCCTGATAGGCAACTACTTCTTGTCATGAACAGGCTAACAGAAAATTCAATAAACAATTCATCTAGCTGTCTTATCAACGTCAAGTCCAAAAATTTGACTGTGCCTTTAGTTTTGGTCAACTTAGAATCTTTATGCCATGAAAACTTTGGGCCATCTTTCAGTGCAGATCACAGAGTAATTGAACCCAGTTCTCCTTCAAAATCTTGATTGATATAAAGGATATTCAACAAGCAACCAACCTTTGGGTTATAGGTGTACGCTGGGGAGAGGGAGGGCACCCCGAGGTAATAGTAGAACGGGGAGTGATCACTGTCCCCCTGTAGACCCTCAATCCTGAAAAAAAAGAACAGATGCATTTATAAAATGTGCAAAGCTTTGTTCCTTGTAAGGTCTGACATTGTTAAGAAATGAAGGATCAACCATTAAATACATGCAATGGCAGAATCTCATTATAAACAAGCATATATAGTTGAACTTCTGTATCTGGAAAAATGATATCTTGAAAACTATAGATATACATGTACTTAAAAGAAGTTGAAAGTCCCAACCATCTTTTTCTGTATGTATATCAACCTCAGTGTCTTTATAAGTCCAAGCTTGAACATTTCCTTATTGTGCACATTAGTTTTTACGATTATATCATATAAATAAATCTTTGTCACAGGCCCTTTAATAAACTTGTACCTTCATAACAATTTTAATGCAATAGCGGGTTCAACTGGACTCATTATTCAGTAAAATACTTTTCAGTGACATTTCTTTTCTTTATCTGCATCTTTCAATTTCAAAGTTGGGCTTACTTTCCATAATCAAATGAATTACAGCACGTAACGTCTCACAACAAACTTTGTTTTCTTCAGATATAATTAGTTCAACATCAAATCTAATTAACTTCAGAAAGTACATTTTTAATGAAGACATTGATGGTTTAAATGCTTCCTGAACGTAAATGCTTTCACAATAAATATCCCACACGTGGGATTTTTCACATATTTTTCAATTTCATCTTCCTTATTCTGTGGCCTTAAAAACTGACCAAACACCTTGACAGGTTAATAGCTAACAAAGATGAAGCATCATGGCGAGCCCAAGCTGGTACCAAAGCTATTTGTCTTCATGGCATTAACATGACTGGCTTCCTCATCTACACTATGTAGATTTACTGATTTATTTATATCAATTATGTGTAGTATGAATTTTTTTTTGCTTTAACTTATTAAGATGCAAAATTCTTTTTACGTATAAATATATTATCATCATCGAATTCCTTATACTTATTCATATAATTGATATAATATATCTTATTTCATTGCAGTTATATCTTATTTCATTGCAGTTTTGATTCCTTCAATTAGTACACAACTGAACGATTCTTTATTAAAGGTAATCTCTTCACAGAAACTGCAAACTTGAATATCATGGCTTTTCCAGTGATTTTCATTTTCGTTATTGAAAAATTATTGTTGTATATTTCCTTATATCTATAATTGTCTTCAATGTTTTGCAAAGTATTTTTTATTTATCTCCTAAGATCAAAGAAACACGAAAAGTCTATACATTCATAAATTTTAGCGATTTAATTTTTTGGGGGTCTTTCTTCTATTTTAAAACACCTTTAAATAAAAGCATGTTTTACACTGCGACTAATTAGTTACCACAAAGTCCTTATGAACCTGCCACTATCAATTGTCTTAGCGAACAGCTTTAGGAAATGATCTCTTTGTAGAAACTTTAAGCCAATTAATTAGGTAATTAAAATTACTGTTCAAAAGAGGAAGCATTTTAGTGGCCTTCATAAATTGTCTATTTCATACAGCAATAACAAATGAGCTGTCTGAAACCATTACTAATGTTAATGTGACCCATGCTTATATGTTTTTATTATACATGTACCTTTGTGACTTTTTTCCTCATAAACATATGATGAATACACCAGCTTATTTTATGTCCCTTTATAGAAAATATAGGGAATTTTAATTTTTACCCTGTCTGTCCATCTGTCTGTCTGTTTGTCCAAAAAACTTTAATCTTTCTATATACAGCTTTGATCTGTTGTACCTATGGCTTTAATATTTTACAAGCTAGTGTATATATTCCTTGAGACAAGCCTTTTCTTTGGGTCTTGACCCTGACCTTGAAGTTTGACCCATTTCTGATTTTTATAAAAAGATATAACTTTGGCTATATAGGATTTGTACACTTGGTGCTTTCAAACTTCATATATGTGTCCATGCATTGCCAAAAGATCTTTCCTTAGGTATAAGGTATAAATATAGGTGTAAATATTTAGTGTAGCAAGAACCCAATCTATAACCATATTATATAAAAAAAAGAATTTAAATTAAATGCATTCCATTAAAAATGAATGAAGCAGATCAAAATGTAAACGTCTTGATCTGTAACTCATCAAGATACACTCACATATCAAACATCTGCTCGATATCTGCAAAAAAATAAAAGTGCGGAAAACCAAGTGGGACAGACTGACAGACGGACGGACAGAATCAGTTCCCTCCAGTTTTACAAGTAGGAGACTAATAAGAAACTGTTTCTTTACTTACATGTACATTACCCTGATATTAAAATAATGTTCTACAACCTAGATTTGTTTTAAGTGTGTTTAAGATTTGTCTAAATTTATAAGAGTTCAAGGTCATGAATCAGAAACTTTTAAAGTTGCTTCCAAATCTTTACTTCTGTTATACAAATCAACTAAGATATCAAATTAAATGTATTTATCTTGTTTAAAAATAACTTAAGAGGGTCAACTTGTTTATATAAATATAAACAAGACTGTCAGATTAGGCTAAAATAGCCAGTACAAGACAGATCTGCTGTTGTTGCCAAAAGCAAGCAATTGCAAAATGAATGAATGCTGTACGTGTAACATTTTAACTTGACAACAATGACTTGTCAAATGAAGAGAAAATTACAAATTACTTTTCCTGACTAATTAGGCCATATTTTATCTGGTGTTGTTTATTTTTCATTCCTTTTAATAGGACTAAGTTGCTATTAATATCAAGACAGAAAGAAAAAGTCATTCTACACTGAAAACCATGGAAAAACCATGAGTCATAGCTGATGACTGTTTACATTTTACAATGCTACAAAAGTAAAAAGAGCAAGAGCCATCTTATGCATAAAATGGCCCTGTACTTATATCAATTAATTAACTATCACCCTCTTTCCATTTTCATATATCACAATAAAGTAGACACTTGGTGCTTTCATGTTCTATAATGAAATTTCGTTTTGAGAATCCAAATATTTGAAAACAGGCTTTGAGAAATTGCAATGTTCTTGAAATTTGCAGAAAATATGCGTTTCTTTAGCAAAGAATTAAAATATCAGCACAGCCCAAAATCCAAAAAATAAAACAAGTTTTTTGATCTTCAGAAACATGGCTTTCATTAAGTATTTGCATATTTTGGATCAGAGGTTGTGCTCTATATGAAATATTGAAAAAACGCTTCAACTTTAGGTCATTTTCAAAGGAATTTACAGGATATGAGGAAAATGACGCATTTTATGTCGTCATAATGCATTGACTAGATGTGAAATTACGTCACAATAAATAGATACGTGGTCACCAACAGTCCAAGTGATAAATACTGCATTTGCAACCTAAACTGAGCGGTTTTGAATTTTCAGAAATTCTCAGGGCCAAATAAGGCCCAAAGTGGCTCTACCTCTTTACTTGACCGGAGCTACATATGTATGTAATTATGTCTTTTTATGATGCTTTTTTAAACTAAGTATATTTACCATATATACCGAAGTAAAAGAACATGATAAAGAAAATGGCGGCAAATAACAGATTGTCAAAGTTTCTATTAAAAACGTGTGCTCATTTCTTTGACTATATGATGGAAAAGGAAGGAATAGCATCATGAAAATATCTTTTCAAGATAAGTAATCAATAAATTATGTGTATATAGCATTTTAATTCCGAATTAGAGCATAAAAAGGAGGTGAAAGGAGAAAAATACACCCCCTAACACAATAACACGTTTTCAAAACAATGTTTTACTGGATTTTATTGGGAACTTTTATTACATTGCTCTCGGTATTACGATATTTTACTGTGACAAAATGAACATCTTAATAACGAGATTCTACTGTACCTTTCTAATTGCCAAATCATCATCCCATTCATCAAATATCTAACTAACTAAAAAATACATGTATATAGAATTGAGTGTTATTTTAATGACATTGGCTACTTATTTTCACTGTGATGGGTTATTCTGGGTCAAACTTGATATTTACTCTGACCATGATTAATTCTGGGTCACACTTGTTACCTACTTTATTTTTGTTGAATTAAACAGGTCACACTTTGTAATTTCTTTGGCTGTTTGAATAATTGGGCCATACTTTGTACTTTAATTTGGTTGTTGGATTATTTGGATCACACTTTGAACTTACTTTGGCTGTTGGCTGTGTTGGATTATTTGGGTCACACTTTGAACTCACTTTGGCTGTTGGCTGTGTTGGATTATTTGGGTCACACTCTGTACTTTGGCTGTGTTGGATTATTTGGGTCATACTTTCTACTTGCTTACTTAGGCTGTGTTGGATTATTTGGATCATACTTTGTACTTTGGCTGTGTTGGATTATTTGGGTCACATTTTGTGCTTACTTTAGCTGTTGGATTACTATATACAGGGAAATTTTTGCTCCCATTTTATTTTTGCCCAGGTGAATTAAAAGAATACAGTATAAGGTCTTAAACAAAACTGTGTGTTGGACTCACAGTATGTACTTACTTTGGCTGAGTTGGATTATCTGGTAACCTACTATGGTTGCATTAGATTATACAGGTCACAGTATGTACTAACTTAGGCTGTGTTGGATTATCTGGTAACCTACTATGGTTGCATTAGATTAAAAATAACCATGTATACACTGTTGGGTCATACTTTGTACCGGTAATTACCTTGGCTGTGTTGGATTTAGGTCACACTTTGTAATTACTTTGCCTGTGTTGGATTTAGGTCAAACTTTGTAATTAGTTTAGCTGTGTTGGATTTAGGTCACACTTTGTAATTACTTTGCCTGTGTTGGATTTAGGTCACACTTTGTAATTACTTTGCCTGTGTTGGATTTAGGTTACACTTTGTAATTACTTTGGTTGTGTTGGGTTATTTGGGTCACACTTTGTATTTACTTGGTTGTATTGGATTATCTGGTTGATACTGGTTACTTACTATGGATTGCATTAGATTATACAGGTCACAGTATGTACTAACTTAGGCTGTGTTGGATTATACAGGTCACAGTATGTACTTACTTTGGCTGTGTTGGATTATCTGGTAACCTACTATGGTTGCATTAGATTATACAGGTCACAGTATGTACTTACTTTGGCTGTGTTGGATTATCCAGATCACGATATGTTTTGGTCCACCTCTCCAGTACTGACTTGTCCTGGTAATCCGGATCAGAACATTTTACTGTGTCAGCCGCCTGTCTTATCACATCATACAACAGAGGGCTGCTCTCAGCAAAGAAGGTATAGTTTCCTACAGGAAAAAAAGACAAATTTTGTCAAAATCTAGCTCAAAGTGAGCCATACATGGTTAAATACATGAAGTATTCTTACTATTTCTTTTTCAATTAAAAACATTTAAGTTTATATCATTCCTCATAGATCATTTGCTACTTCAAGACAAATAATACCAGTTTTTTTGCTATCAAATTCACTTTTCATACATTTTCTACATGTTTATCTGTAAGGTAATTTAATGTTTTCATTTGATTGCATTAAACACAGTTGTGTATCAATAATATTCCTATATCAAGTCACATAGTTGTGGGGCCACTTTTGCAGCTTTGGGCATATAAATATAAAGAAAGATAACTCCAAAGTCTGAAGTGGTCTAAGAATAATTTGAGTTGCGTCCTAGTTGAGTATTTAACTCTTTATCTGTACAAGCATGGGAATTTTCACCCCTTTCATCCTTGTTGTAGGGAGACAAATTTAAAATGGGACATATCAGAGAAAGACAGCATTATCTCATAAACACAACTATGTGTTGATGAATTTAAACCAGAATACTGTTTGCAAATGTAGAAGGAAAAAAATGGGGCAAAGACAGGTAACATACATCTCCAAAATATTATAGAGCTATACAATTTTTCTGAGCAAAAATAAAGATGCAATTTATATATACATTTATTATAATTCTGACCTCTAACTACTGTGTCCAGATTGATGTAAGCAATGGCTCCTAACCCAATCTCCTTTTCCATTTCCTGTTTGAGCAAAGAAGATACTTTCATTACTACACCAACATTGATTATACAGTCAAACCTTTCATAATGACCACCTGTTTTTAGTGACTTCCTGTAATATGCTACTGTTTAATTCTCCCCAAGAATTTTTCACTGCATTTTTTTTATTATCCATCTAAAGTATAAAACCTTAAATATCTGATTTAAGCAATTTGGAATCCATTTCCTATCTTCACTAAGTAGGTCTTTTAAAACAGGATTATTATATAATATATATTTAAAATATTCTATGGCATTGTATTTGAAAAAAAAAACAACATTATTTATATGTATCCTCAATGTTCTCCAATATTACACATATAGTTACATTTCCACTACAATACAGATAAATGAAGAAAACAATCTTATTAATTTCCAGATTCTAGCTGTACAATTGTTTAGAAATTGATAGATTCTTGGCAGACTACAAACCTGCACCCATTCGAATGATCCAACGTGTCCATATTTAGAAGCATCCCATAATGCAAACTTCAGAGTTCTTCTTGGTCTGTAACCTGAATAAAATATAGTTTTCTTTCAATTTTAGAAAATACTGTTATGGAAAAAAATCATCAAATTGTTTATTAGAGTTTGTTTCAAAACTACTGCTACTTGTGTAGTTAAAATAATTAAGTTCCCAGGGTAACTCAAAATGATCCGAATAAGAAATAATGATGTTATGGCAAATTAGGATAACCCGTAAAATGCTCATGAAATCCTGTTTTATTAAGTTAAGTGATGATTTACCTTTATTTGAATGGAAGCTGAAGGTGCGTAAGAGTTCCCACAATACAGCATATCCACTGGCCGAGTCTACCCCTCCTCTGTTCCACGAGTCAATATGTGCTCCAATAATAATAAACCTGTCTACAAAAATTCACCATACTTAACATTCTAAATGAAAAACACCTGAAATCCATTAGAAATAAACTAAATTACCATGCTTGAATGATAAAACTCTGTTGATTTGAAAATCTTGGTTGATTAATGCAGGTATTTAATGATAGAATCACAAACTAACCTTTTTCATATTGTCCCTTGATTTCTGCCACTAAATTTGAAATTTTTCTTGGTACCAGGTCTCTTATTACTGTTAAATTCACCAACCTAAAATGGAAGTTTTGGCAAAGTTAGTGTTTTCAGAATTCCTATTTATCTTACCATTTTGTAAACTCAAAACAAATACATTTATTTTGGAATACATAAGATCTGGAATAGACAAGTTTTGCTGTAGGCAATTTCTACTGTGAAAGTTATAATTAATGAACATCATATTAAAGTTGCAGTTACAGCATATCTAGTAAATGTGCATTAATGAATTATTTTCTTACATTTAAGCTTTTATGTATCATCAAACTGTTGATATTTTTTTACATTACAAAACCTTAGCATATTAAATTGATATCTTTGAGATAGTAAGGTTTGACTGTATTTTCTAACTGACCTGTCATCAGTGTGACCAGGCCCTGTTTTGTATGGTACACCCAGACCCCCAATCCAGTCATCTGGTACTGCACTGCCATTCATAGATCTACAGAAATAAACCTAGGTCATATTAAAATGTTTCAAATCAGAAAATCTCAAAATCCCCTCAAAAACCCACAGATATAAGACAAACAAACCTGAGGAGAGATCTGGCGTCGTTGTATGATATGGACTGCACTGGAACTCGGGGACATCCCAGACAGTTATCCTTAGGATTGGGTTGTTGATAAACACCATCTACAAATCACATAACTGCACACATTATCAATGATCTACAATGTTCATTTCAATTACTGAACACAATTCACATAATCCCTTCTTAAAATGTTGCATATATACAATATGTTGGATATATCAAATTCCAATCAAAAATTTACAGTCAAACTCGTGTAATTCAGATATTGTATATTCCGAAATCTTGCTTAATTTGATGTCAGTATGAAGTCATTTCAGTAAATTTAGTTGTTTTAAATGTTGTCTAATCCAGAAAATTGTCTAAATCCAGACAGTTTCTCTGGAACCAGTGGTCACCAGATTAGACTAGTTGTACTGTACAGTAAAACTCGGTTATAACGAAGTCACTGGGTTCTGTGAAATTACTACCCGATATCTAAATTCGTTATATCCATATGAGAAATGCGTAATTTTTTCAGTTGGGGATCAATGAAAGCTTCACTTTATCTGTGAATTCGCAATATCTGTGTTCATATTACACGAGTTTTACTGTATTTATAGTTGCAGTTTACTGTGTAGGTCTTGCTCTCACCTAGTGATGGGTAGCCTGGACTTTGTGGGTCACCCATCAGTGTGTACCTGACGTGGTGGGAGTGGACGGCCCACCCTGGGAGCCACCAGGTGCTGGGGTACACCGCCTCTGTGTTGTTGTTGGCAAAGTCCAGGGGGTCAGGATAAAGTATCACCCCCGCAGCTCCATAATCTTCTGCATGCTTGACCTACAATGATTACTGACTATGAATGTGAAAATCACAACTGAGTATGATAAGTTATGGACAAAGCATCTTCGCTAGCCAAAGGTTTCTGATATGCTACTCTCCTCATGAACCCTTGGCATACGGTGAAGTCAAAAGACGGGATTGTTTTCGTCACGTGGCCTCAAATCAATCAGGTACGCACAGATTGCGACATCGACAGAAATACAGACTCGTGTTTAAAAAAATTAAATCAAAGTTTTTTTTCAAGAATATTTAAGAAGCAATAACTGAGTTATGTTTATTTATTATTTACAGTACAAATCAGAAGCTTCAATATAGATTCTTATTGACACCATATCTATTCATAGAATCGCATGTTATCTTATGGATAGTTGTTTACTTGCATTTTTCATTTCCGAATGAGTGAAAAACGCAAATATCTTTATTTACAAAAACAATTGCTGATTGGTTGACCAATTGAGAAAAAAAAAAACCAACTTCCAAGAACACCGTATTCAAGGGTTCATGAGGAGAGTAGTGTATCAGAAACCCTTGGCTAGCGAATATGTGGACAGAGGGACAAACTAAATAATGTTATTATTACTGGCCTCCCACATTTCTGATGTCTATGATTATTACGGGGGTCCCACATTGCATGCAGGAGTCTAATGATATTGAAATTTTTATTACCACATCCACATAACAATGATTTTTTGTTCACAATTTTACAAGCCATTGAGAGTTTATTTAGATACAGGTTTACATTTTTTAGCAAAATCAGGTTGATGTTGGCCAATTAATGGATTGATGCTAAAAATAATACTGCACTTAATCAGACACTTCTGGTTGTAACACAAAATAAATTGCCCTGTGAAACACTCGCCTCCTTGCTGCAGTATTGATTTACCTTATTCGCGGGGTGGATCTTGCCATATTTGATCAGTACTATGCTGTTGTTGATGGAAACCCCAAGACTGTCTAGAGTATGGAAATCTGTCTTCCTTCCAAAATTAGCAAATACCAATTTCCCCTGCAGCAAAAACATCCATTAAATATTTATCAATCATTAAAGGAAACAAGAAATTAAAGTGTAATGAATTACTGATGTTAGTGCTAAAAATGGTGAACCCAGCGACAGTGTACTCTAAGATTGATTGTTCTGTTCATTGTAAAGAATGCATACATATAGTAAATTAGATTTAGCACTTTTTCTTTCATCATTCAAAATTTATATTGGTGAAGTAACTGAATGATTATACTCTGTAACAGAAATGGGAGAGAGAGAGAGAGAGAAATTAATGGTTTTTATTAAAATTTTATTTTATTTTCAGTCCAATTTTTCATTTTATAATAATATGCAGCAATTACATATAAACGAAATTAGGTACTTTTTCCCACTTTCAATCCAGCCATATACAGCTTCCAAGGAAAAAGACAGAAAGTTGTATACACTTTATACACATGTACAATCTGATTTTGAAAAATTTTTTTCTTTCCTTCTGTACATGTACCAGCAGTCTCATCAATCAAGTATATTTTTTAAACTAAACTAATTACCATGTAAAAGATAAATCATGTAGTTTTTTTTGGAAGGGGTGGGGTGGGGAAGGGGGTACATGTATTCATTTTCTTTCCCATTGATTTTATAAAGAAGCAACAGGAAAGGATAGAACATCTGCTCCAGACTTCAGAAAAAAATGCTAGTCAGATAGGTACTTTTCTTTAGAAATGTTCCCATTCCTTATACACAAAGGATCTCTGTAATTTAATAATTCATTTCTATGTCAGTATCAGTGTACTTAATGGAAATCCCCGAGAAATCGGCTTACGGGATCAACTTTCAGAATTATTGCTGGTGACTCTAATTACCAGAAGGATGGGCCGATATTACCTACAATAAGAAGTCACTGAGGAATATAGTAAGTTTCCTGTGTTGACATAGATATTTTTTTTCAAGAAATATCAAAATAAGGACATACTAAAGTCTCATCAGAGACATCTTTGAAATATTTGCCCGAAGAAAATACTGTCATAAACAAACTGATTTAACTTTTATATATAGATATTTATTTTCCTCATTCAGTGTATAGGAGAACCATAAGCCACATTGCTCACCTGAGTCACCTTGGGCCTGCTTTTCTTTGAAAGAAAATTTTTAAAAGACCCTTCCCCCTTTATTTTGATCATAATCTATTGACAACATGTCAAAGGGATTTGACACAAGTTCCCAAAACTTAGATAGTCCTCTCCCATTATTTCTACAGAACATGGAGTCCTCCCCAAAGGATATAATAATTTAACTGAATTTGAATCCAGATGGATCTAATACAGATTGGTTTGACAATTAGGTAGGTGCATCTAAGGGGGTAATATAAATGGGTGTGACCTGTGGGTAGATGTACCTAAAAAGTAATATACATGTATGTGACAATAATCACCTTCACAGATGCCTCCGGTGAGTACGCATTAAATGGCATCTGCTCCGGATGTTCGGAGGAGAGGTTGAAGCTGGCGTTCCATACAGTGCTGCCGTCTGGCTGTTCCAGGGTTATACTGGTTCTGTTTGGACTCTGCCTGTTAAAGGGAATATATTATTTACTACTATTAACAAAAGCTGTCAAATTGTGATAAAGTGCACTGAAAATAGACCTGTAGTATCTTTATGTCCTAGGTGGCTGAATATGACACATTCTGAATGGGATACGGAGCTAGTGTTAAATTGCAGCACCATGGGAAATGTTATTTGTCATGTTAATAAAGCTGACAATAGCATTTATTCCTGATCAATTAATTTTCCTCTCGTGCCTGACAGTTGATAATTTGACAGAATACATTCCTGGAATACTCAAGCCAGGAATAGAAAGTCAATGTATGAATCTATATATTTTTTAAGGGTCACACTTATGAAAAAAAATTCAGTTTCTATATGTAATGCTTTCTGAGGCGCACACCACAGCCAGTATCTCAACCTTACCTTTTGGTCTCTGGGGTACAAATGCATGTAAAGAGAGTAGGTCCAACTCCATGCACTTAAGTTCTCCCAATTCATATATATCTTAAAAGTTCTCACGATTCATATATATCTTAAAGGTACTTGGACACATATTTGGAGTTAATATTTTCTCATTTTTTCTGTATAATATCACGAATTATATATTTTAATAGCATTTCACACAAAAATTATTTAAAAATCTTATTTCATTTAAAAGTTATTAAAACTTTAAATTTTTTGGCGGGTTTGATTAACACATCCTTGCACTTTCAAAAATCTTAATCCTTAGGAAAAGTGGCAATTTTGATGTGTTTTAATGAGAAATATTAAAACTTTTATCAAGAAAAATAATTTTAAAAAAATGTTAGAAAGCAAAACACCTTCACAAGTATCGTCATTCAACTAAGAGATGACAGGGCTCAGTTCTGTTATTGTTTATATTTAGAATTCACCGGGTGCGTCAAACACATAGGCAGCTTACCACAACTGCACGGATGACAATATATTGTGTGTTTGTTTTGCTTTCGACACAGAGACAGAATTTTCTGGATTATAGTATTAATATTTTTCATTTATACAAAACGAGATTGCCACTTTTCCTAAGGATTAAGAATAAAATTAAACTTGTGAGAGTGCAAGGATATGTACGATATGTCAATCAAACCCGCCGAAAAATTAGAAATTTCAATATCTTTTAAACGAAAAAAAAAATTAATTTTTTTGTAAAATGCTATTAATATATATATATATTATAGAGAAAATAATAACTTCAAATCTGTGTCCAAGTACCTTTATGAATATAAGGTTGGATATAAATGATATTGGAAATAATTTATACATGTTGTAGACAGACAAATTAACACTGAACAAAATACAGTTGAACCTATTTACCTCAAACACCATTACCTCAAATACAAGAGAAAGGTCAAACTGTGTTGGAGTCCTTTACATTTTGACCCTTGTTATCTAGAATTCTGAGATATACTTTATAATATCAAAGTTTGATCTGTCAAGTTTGAGATAACAAGGTTTGCCTGTATATGTAGAGCCACTGTTGAGACACTTACAGAAATGGATATGACAGTAACACTGTGTAGTTTGTCCAGGACAGACCGTCCAGAGGGAAATACTGCCACATGTCGTGTGTACCCATCACCACTTTTAGAGTCGATCCCACGGCAGCAAGTCCAATAGCTGATGTCCATATCCTGTAATAATTAATTTATACATCATGTTATGACAGGGGTTGTCCTTTTGACTTGAGGGTCAAGGAATTTCCCCACCTATAACATTGTATTTTTCCAGTTAAACAAGTACTGATATTTCCTCTGTAAGAGAAGGAACCAGAAGCCCCATTTTACTTTTTAGTGTCCCCTGCTATTTCAGTTCTATGGGAAATAACCATTATGATATACAGGTATATCTAATGACAAACTGCATATCTAGATTTTTTGATCTTGCACATTTTCTAATCTATCCATTTCTTTGTTTTTATTTATATACAATTGGATTCAATTAGCATTGTTTACATCTACAAAACATCGACGTGGGACATGTAAATCCATCCGCAGCATAATCGATCACAACACTATAATAATCCAAGCAAGAATTCAATCATTGTTAATTACAACTGATAGATGATAGCTTGATTGTCTATATGCACAATTATGTCTACATGTAATTGATTATTAGCTATACAAATGCACTATTATAAAGTCATTGTAAAACAGGGACATATAACTATTATGCTAGGATATAGAAAATTCTTCAAGCTTGAAATTTTTGCAATTTTTTAAGGGCCCCCACTCATGGACACGGAAAGACAAAACAACACAAATTGTTTCAATTGAGATATTATCCATTACATTCTGCTTCTTCAAAACTACAGTGCAGACCAAAGGCAAATAACACTAAAAGACCATCTTAAAAAGCGATACTTTTGGTTTTTTAATTAACTGAAGATCTTATAACTTAAGGACCCCCACCCCACTCCAGCAAGTATGATGTAATTACTGGTGTATGTAAATTCAAATTATCTATGAAGAAAAGGAAAGATTTTTGCCTACATCTGTCTCTTGGTAGAATAGTCGAATCATAAACAAAAATTCTGTCTCTTTAAGAAAATATTGAATTCCTACACCAGTATGCCATGAACTACATTTGAATCCTGCTCCTACTCACTTGATGTGATCTTCAATATTGACAATGTCCTGTAGGTCATCTTGTAGACTCTGTCTAATGGAGGGATCATAATCCTGAAAAATAAGTCATATTTATACATTTACAACATCAAAATATGACAAAGATTGTATTAGGAACTAAAATCTACATCTTTTATATTTCTAATGAAAAACATCAAGGTAAAAATTCTCAAAATATGTCGTAAAAAGTACCCTCCTACAACCAGCGAGGAATCTAAATTGGCATTATGAATGAGCATTTGTGTTCCATAGTGATTGAACTTTAAGGTTAATTTTGTTTCAGTGTAAATTTTTGTTACAGGAAAAACAAAACAATCACAACTTCTTTAACTTTTAAATTTATGTAATGGAATGGAATGGAACTGGAAAAGCTGTTTATGAGGAGGGTGTCATTTACCAAGAGGATGCTTCTCAGCCAAAATTTTAAAAGTACAGTCATGAAGAAAAAATGAATGATGAACATAAACCCATAATTTAGTGCAGTTCTTTCTAAAACTAAAACAAAAATATTGCACCTGCCTCTCAAGTGCTTTGCTGTCATGACATTAGAATACAATGGGTTCAATTCATTATCTCTTGTTTGCACAGCAGATTGGTTTGATGATTTTTTTCATTCATCATTGCTAAGTAAATCTCATTTGAAATATGGGCCTAAAAATGGCAACAGTTACATTAAGAGTGCATAATAAAATACTAATTTTGATCTGAAATAGTCCCAAATGTGGTATCAAAAAGAGGTTGTTTTCGTACATCTACATTTCTAACAATAATGTTGGACAGAGATGAAGTCAACACCCCCTTAATCTTACTTAAATGTCTGAGGTTACATAGTACATGTATATTTCATGTTGACATGACTGATCAAATATGGCGTTATTTCATTCTTCACAGAACGTAGTGTTGCTGAGCTTTTGCCCTTTATCTTGTACATTTGTAGTTCTCATATTCACTATAGCACTCCCATAGGACATTGCCACCTCCAAGTATACTGCTATATAGATACGTGTAAATGTCAGCCGCATGGAATTTTTTACTGCAGATTTCATACATATTTAACTAAGAATCAGATAAAATTCCAGACTCTGTAGAAGCATTGGGACATCAATAAGGATCTAGGAATCTAACCACAGCTTTAAAAATTAAGTACAATGTAATACTGTACAGGTGAACTTTGGTATCTTGAACTCGAATATCTTGAACACCATGTATTTGTTGAAGTGATTTGATAGTCCCAACCACTTATTATGCCCCTCTTCAAAGAAGGGAGGGCATATTACTTTGCTGCTGTCTGTTGGTTGGTTTGTCCGTCGGTTGTCGGTAGGTCTGTCTGTTGGTCCACCAAGTTTCCGTTCATTTCTTTGCAGTGGTTGCACATATTGAAATGAAATTTTGTATACAGATTTATCATGAGAATATCTAGGTCAAGTTTGGTTTTGGGTACGATCAAGTCATTTTTTACAGAGTTATGTCCCTTGAACTTAGAAAAAATCCAATTATTTGCAGTTTCTGTTCATTTTCTTCACAGAGGTTGCACATACTGAAATGAAATGTGGTATATATACAGATTTATCAGATGAATATCTGGGTCAAGTTCGGTTTTGGGTACAGTAGCACTATTTTTGATGGTGTTATTCCCTTTTGGACTTAGAAAAATTCCAATTTGGGGGAGGGGGGCATTAGTGTTTTACAAACATCTCTTGTTCTTTAAGTATTTTACCATCGATATCTTGACCTTGGTCCCATAGAGTTTGAGAAAATGAGATTTGACTGTACTTCAAGTTTTTCTTTCATTTGCATCTCAAAAATGTTCACTCACTTGCTCCACTCAAGATGAAACATAAGGGTGTTCATGAAATAATGAAATAAGATAACTATCTTTTGGTCCTAAAGAAAGACAGCTCCTCACTTGGATCAAATAAACGGAAAAATAATAGCAGAAATTAATCTGTGAACATTACGAAAAGTAGAAACATTGTGTAATCTCACTTAATATCTGAATGTTTTTGTTGCTTTCAGAGTGCAACTCCATTAGTATTTGAGCCTTCTCCCTCCCTATGGAGATTTCATCATTTCATATGATATAATCTAGCCTTTAATGCAACACATCATTTCAACCTTCAGCAAAACCTTCAGCAAAATATCCCCACAGCACAATGCCCCTAACAATCCCTCAGTATTGACAAAACAAAAGCAAAGTGACAGGACAGAAAAATGATGGAATTCAAAAATCAAATTTAGAGGCCAAGAACAAGTGATCTCTTCCACCCTTGAGATGTTGTGTGCCATAAAATGAATTCCAAACTCAATTATCAGGAAGGTCAGAGGCATTGTTTGAAAGACAGGGCTATTGATCGTGGAAAACCCTCAAAATCTGGTCTCCCTTTCACAGCTCCCATGCGAGTAGTATATACTTATAAATCATATGCAGCAAGCCTTCGGGCCATTCAGAATTAGGTCCCAGTCCAATTCCTCATCCTGGGCTATTGTTTTATATTTTTGGAGTGTCTGTACATTATTTTGATTGAGATGTATTACGGCCTGATCAAATTGCTCTCTACATCTCTTTGATTGTTAGCCATGATTCCTAATGCACGTCTCTCATAAAGCTGAATTACTGGTCGCTTAAACTGAGAAAAGCGAAGCGATAGAAAACAAGATCTGATACTTCTAAAAACCTTGTTTTCGGGGCAAAAAAGACACTGGCAAGTAAGACATATGTACCAGAAATCTTATTTACTGAATCCCCATTGTCTATAGAAAAACCAGCACACAGTGTATCATAAGGAAGGGCCCAACTTTTCATTGATTCATAAAAACTTCCAATGGCTGCCATAGCCATATATAATGAAACAAGACTTGGAGCAATTTATGGCATGCGTAACTAATATTTTAGATTAGTCGGACATCTTCTGCGCCAATTCTCCTCACAGCTATGCTTAAATTGCAAAAGGGTTACTCACAGGAACTTGAATTTTGAGACAGAGGCACCTCTGTTTTTCCCAGCATGGTTCCAGAGTCTTCTGGCAGCCTCTGTAAGTTACTTGAAGTAGATTAATTTCCATAGCATTACCTCAGGTAATGACATAGGCCTACATGTGAACACTCCAGTTTTATGTAAAAGCTTTTGTGTATGCTGTGCTATAACAAGCTCTGTCACACTGTTTCTTTCATTTAGAACTTAGCAAATATTCTCTCATTTATGGCTCTCATTCCACAATCTTGCAAAATTTTCATGATTTTTCCTTAACATTCATCCTACTAAATAATCAATATGCAAAAATTCTATCAACCTGATTGAAAAAGTAGAGCCATGTTTGGAGTCTTTGGTACCTGACTGAATACACTACATAAATATAAAGTTTGGATAAAGGGCAAAGGAAAATATGCTTCACACAGAAATCTGGTATGTCCTTGACTTTTGACCTACAAACTTGCATTGTTCAAGGTCATGGCACAGCCTTCACATAATTCTATTTTTACACATGCAGTGCTGATTTTTTTTTACCTTGACCTTTGATCTTGAAATTGGTACAAGATCAATGCAAACCCTACATGCGTAGGCATCTTTGGGAAAAGTTTTGTGCACAATTTGGAAAAGGGGAGGTAAAAATATATTCTGGGCAAGTGCTGTAAGACAAAATAGACAAAAGGAAAGATGATTGGACTGATAATTAATTACTGTAAATGACTAAATGCCATATTTTGTTGAAGTATAAGGAAGAAGTGTTTTCCATACTACTTGCATTAAAGTTGGTTTAGACCTTGACCTTTGACACTAGGATGAGGAAATTAAAAGAATGAACCTCTGCTATTGGTTAACTATTGTTGTCTTTGAATTTCTGGTATGATGCAATATTTTGAACTGTGGAAATTTTTACTTGATTTTATTTGGAAATGCTTTTGTTTTGTGAACTCTTCATACAACAAATTGGTTTAGGTTTTATTGCATTTAAAATACATGTTACTACTCAATGTGACCATAATGTCTTCACAAGTGACTTCTTATTAGAGGTATTCAACAAATCAGATGCAAGGGGAAAAGATGGACCATGAGACCAAAATCCTAAAACAGGGACCAGGTTCAGCTACTGGTATATTTGTCTTCTGTCAATTTTCTTTCAAGTAATATTTCTCCATGTCTCTTATCCTTGAGAAAATAGGCTTCTTTACAAAACTAAGAAATCTCAAGGTTAATGCAAAGACAGCTGAGACATGACATACAAAGTAAAAGTAATAAATTCTCTGTAGTTTCATAGAATGAAGAAAATTGTGCAGCAGATGCAATTTGATCTACAGTTTACAGTGATGCATTGTGTACATCATGCTGTATTGATTTTATTTTAGAGTTTTTTAATCCCATAGGTACAAGAACTCCAATCTTGAGCTCATTATTGCTTTAGGCAGACTTTTAAACAATAGTTCATAATTTCAATGTTAGTTATACCCCCCGCTTGAAAAGCGGGAGGGTATATAGTAATCGTTAATTCCGTCCGTCCGTCTGTACGTCCGTCCGTCTGTCCGTCCGTCCGTCTGTTACGCTTTGGGGTACCCATCTCTTATCCGCAACTCCTCTCATACCACTGAATGAAATTTGATGAAACTTTCACAGAATCTTTATTACATATTGCCATTGTGCACCTCCTATTTTACTTTTTGATCCGACACATATTTTGGGTTTCCCGGCCACAGGAAAACATGGACTTTTTCACCAGTTATAACCATATGGGAAGCGGGGGGTATCATTTAGTGAGCTCATCGCTCACAGTACCTCTAGTTTTTGTTATTCTTTTTTTGAAAATTGATAAAGAAAAGGAAATGATCTAAGGTTATTTGATGATGTGAAAGAAAGTTGGAGCATACTAGGAGGCATTTCAAATTTGTTTTTCAAATGTCAGATCAGGAAAAAAGTAAAGATACAAAGCTTTGGACTTAAAAAAAATATAATCATCATTTTATTAAATGCTTGTGGACTGTATATCTTTGTATGAAGCTTTATAAGGTTAATGAATCTCTCAATTTCTCCACAAACTGAAAACCTGAAAATGAAAACATTTCAGAACTTTTTGCTCACCTGGTAAATTCTTGGAATGGGCATGGGTGTAGGTGTGTTTAAGGGAGCAATGTATTTTTCATGTATATTTCTTCTTATGACGTAACCGATGATAAGACCGACAAAGAAGCAGACAACAAGAAGCAGGACTTTGAGGACGTTTCCTTTCCTGCCAGAGAAGAACTCCACAAGTCCGGGAGACGCTGGGTTGTCGAAGTGACGGTATTGAATGTCTACGTTGTCAGATTCCGCATCCCACCGTGACACCTGTCTGCCCGCCACATACTTCCCCTTTATTGGCATCCTGAAATGTAACAATTTACAGTGTCACTCAAATGTTTGATATTATTTCTGGCGGCTTAAATAAAGAACTTGGGTATCTTGAACACTGCTAATTTGAAGATGGTTATTAGTTCACACAATAAAGTACCTGTCAAAAGACACACACCTACTGTGTGAAATTTACACTCAATTGGTGAAATTGGGACTGTGTTTAAATGTCACAATATTAGTCTCAATATTGATATCAGAAATCTTGGACATTTTAGAGGTTTTTCGTCTGTTCCATTAAGCATGCACTAATAAGGTTTGACTGTATTATATATACCGGTACATATATATACCATGAATAATACAACACCATTATCTTTCATGAATTCATTCCAAAAACTTAAGAAAAAATATAATAGTAAATCATGGTTACAGTGAACATGCTTATAATGAATTCACAATTGCAACAAAGTTATTTTTTTTAATCCCTGTGCTTTTAAAAGTTTTGTAACCTTAATAGTTTCAAATGCACTTGTTTCCATATTTTACCCTATCTGACAAGTAATACAGAAAGGAAAAACAGTGAAATCTGCCGGAGCATTCCAAACAGATAAAAAATTGTTAACTTTACAAGAGAAACCTGTAAACTCAACCACATTGCAACTCACCTGTCAGAAAACACTGACACCAATTCAGTCGTCATAATGATTCATCCGAGAGGAACAAAGTTAATTATCTCCCCTTATTAGATCACGACCTCATATATATCACCCAGGGTTCAATTGATTGAGCCAGACAGCCCTGCTCTCTTTCATACATCTTTCTGGTTGCAACAAAAGTCAGACATTGCAGGGGAAGGATGAGCCTAGCTACCTTAAAGCTCTGCCTCTTGCAAGATTTCCCAATAATCTATGATTCTTGTTCAACAACGATACGAGCATAGTGACATGTTATGCCAACAAATACAATGCACTGCAATCATTTTCTTTTTTTGATGTGAATATTCATGAACTTTAATAGGATATTTCCAGAAATGGGATTTAACTCTCGTGGGGGAATTTATTGGCACTGTCTATCATATCAGCACACACCATAATAAGAGAAAACAAAGCCTATAGGCTTTATTCGGTAGTCTGGAAGCTCCGACAATATTTGACCAGAGAATACGTTAAAACCAATTTAGTGGGGGGAAAAAACTAGAGGCAATTTTAGATTGCTAATTTCAATTAAAAATACTTCAGGCTGAAAATCAATTCTGTTCAAATTAAGGCAGAGACAACATCATTACCTTAATTTACTTCCTGACAATACAGACAATTTTATTACAATTTGTTTTACAACAACTTTAGATGTTCAACACTTTTTAACTTGTTCATTTTACTCATTTTTCAAAGCAATTAATCATTGTTTAAGAATGCCTCCCTTAAAGTACCAAAAATTCATTCAATTCATACACTTAGAAAAATGAACAGAAAACAAAAAAAAATATTCTCTTAATTTACTTAACAAATAGAAAGCTTGCAATTAATTGAAGAAAGGATGCTTACACCTATCCAACATAGTTATCCACACACAATAAATTCAGAAAGAAAAAAAGGAATATACCGGTATCAAGAAGCAAATATTTTGAAAAATAGCAAATTGTTTTGGGGCGTCTAAGCGAGGGGACATCAAAGATGAATGGGTGGGTGTTGTGGGGGTAATGGCAAATCAAAATACAGAATCTTATATCCTTGGTAGGGGGAGTGAGCCCAGACATTGATTAAAATGAGAACCCATTTCATTGAAAAGTGGCCTGGGCTTTTAAAAACTGATCATGACACCTCTAAATCATCCTACCTAGTGGCATTACTAATACTGTATGACATCATTAGGTTAGTGACATTACTAGGATGGTATGACATCATAAGCTGCTAGTTACACTTCCACGTTAAAAACAATACTGGTGCATGTCTTGTACGCCAGTAAGAGGGAAATGAAAATCAGTGACAAGTGACATTAAGTTTACTATCATCCCATTAGTTGTGTTGGTCAATCTGTCAGCAGAATTATTAAGTGGACCATGGTTTACTTGCATTTAAAAGCCATAAGAAATCTCTGCAATCCCAAGTTTCTAATTTCCTGTTGCCATTACTCTATCATTGGAGGTTTGATCTAGCCATAAAATGTGCTGTTTTTGGATGAAGAATGGTCTTAATTCATTGAATCTCCTTCAGTGTGAATAATGCATGTTGCATTATTATGTAAATTGGTCATACAAACATCATTAATTCCACTGGGATAATGCACAATCAATAAACTCATAGTAATATAAAGTGGCATTGCAAAACCTTCAAAGACGTGTGAAAAGCTCAATTGCTTATGAAATAAGACATTTAGTTGGAGAGCAAATAAATCACTCTTTTTATGGCTTACCTCTTTGGCTCAGCAACACCTCTATAACATCAATTTCTGTAGAGCAATCAGGGATTGTACTTTGCTGGTTAAATTCATAGTTGCATGTTTACCAGTGAATCCACCTTCTACAGAAAATAGCCTTTTCCTTCAGATATGCTTAATTAACAGTTCGGATTGGCACTTTAAAGTGTTTGCTCAAGAAGAATTATTGGACACTTAGATAATGAACATATGGTTAAGACAATGATATTCACAGTAGCTAAGCCTGACTTTCTGTTACTCTAATACTGGTATAATAGTTTTACCATACAAAAGCACCATGCAAAGGGTATATACATGTACATCAGTAAAGCAGAACTCTACTGAACCTGAATTGCACTTATTAAGTAAAACATTATTATAGTAAATCTCAAAGATCACTTAATAGAACAGCCAAAATCACTTTGCAATATCTGTCATTTGTTATATAAAATTGATTTTTCATTATTTTTTTGCATTTCTTGGTGCCAAAATATGAGGCTTCATTAGGTAAGATTTCATGTAAAGACAAATTGCATTAAGCACCTCTTATGCAGAGCATTGCAAAATTGAACCAAAGTCTCTGCTAAGTCTGTACCTCTACTGGGTTTTTTCTTTTCACTAAGAAGGGAGACAAATATTACTGTAAATCTACAGCAGTTCAAATAAAGAAAATATTGACCTTTGGATTACCAGAAGACTCTGTGTGTCAAGTTTTATTAAAACTGGACAAAAATCAGTATCGAGGAACACTGCCTTTTTTAACATTTGTCAAACAAATATACAAAAGTATATACATTGTATACCTTAATGTAAGTCCATTTGTATACCATTTAAAAAAAATTCCATATGTATTCTTTATAAATCTATTATTGCCCACTGTAGCTCCATCCTATCCCCAGTGATGAAGATTTGAACAGACTTCAACATTCACAACATGGAGATACTTCCATATAAAAGAGATTTTTCAGTATTTTTGAATGTTTTTCAATGTCTCCACATCAATATCAAGAGGTCCTGCTTTGAGTTATCTAGAATACACTACCTATGTTGTTCCTTAGAAGATGATTTTTTACAGATTTTTATTAAATATATACCAATGGAAAAGTTTGATTGATCGAAGTGGTCCCACCCTATCCACATAGGGCATGATTTGAACAAACCTGAATCCACACCATATCAAGAAGCTTTTTATACAAGTTTCATCTTTCCTGTCTCAGTGGAGAAGAAGATTTTTGAATGAACCTACCCAATTTTTACCTTTTCTTAATAACCCCCTTTGGAAGATACATGTATGTGGTCCTTCATTTGAAAAAATGAATCTTTTTTATCTTAGAACATTCTGTGACAACTTTGGTGGAAGAACCTGGCCCAATGGTTCTGGAGAAGATGACCCATGAAAGAGAAGACATATATGAAAATGTAGGTCAGCTCCAGTCTCCATAGCAAGTCAAGTATAGTGTCCATCTCTATAGGTAATAATTCATGCTACTTAGAAACAGGTATGGCTTCCTAAGGAATGGACTTGCTCAAACATTTTAAATCCGAGAACTCATTTGGAAAGTAGAGGTCAATTCCAACCAGTAGGATCCTAGTTGCATCATCCATGATGCAAGTTGGTCCAAAGGGGGCTTATTTCCTTGAGCATGCACTTCTTCCATCTTCCATACTTTTCCCCCTATAATTACTCATCTTGAAGACAACTGGTCAGAGACAGTATCTAAAGCAAATTTGGTGGTGTTCATCCAATGATGCATCATTCTAATAGGCTTGGTGCAGTCAGAGCACATAGTTATTAGTAATTGAGAAGGAACTTGCTCCTAGAACTTTTCCTGACCTCCTGTCTTGAAAACGTAGGTCAAATCTAGCATCTGAAGTCTGTTAGTGCCCATCCCTAGATGGTGATAGTTATTTGGGAATGAGTTTGCTTCCATAATTGGGATGCCAATATTAAAGCCAATGTGGCAGACATAGCATAAGCTCATCTTTGTAGAGGTAGGATAAAGTGTGTAAAATTAAATTTGGTCCATAACTTTGCATCAAAATTGTTTTAACTCTTGATAAGTAAGCACCTCTAACAATGAGCTATCCTAAGACAAATCTTACCAAACTATACCAATGCATGTTAACAACAGTAAATTGAATTAAAGTATTAAAAATCCAATTTTCTAAAAATTTATTAATGAATGTATACTGAGAGAGCATCAAATATAACTATCTAAAGAGCATCAATTCATTGATACATGTACCTGTTTGACCGAATTCTGTTAAAGTAAAGTAATGAAATTCTAATTAATGCTTATGCTTAAAAAGCTAAACATAGAACAATATTAAGTGGGAATCTCTGAACCCATCAAGGAAAAATGGAAATTTAACATTTCTTCAGCAATCAAAAGGCCATCACATCGGAATGGTGTTCAAATGGGCAAGTAAACAGGGGAAAGACAATAGCTACAATGGGACTAAGGCATCGAACTGCTGAAATATTCATCAACTATTGTACACACCATTAATTATCTGCGAAATGAATCCCCAATTAAAATCAATGCACAGGTAATGAAAGATGAATCATTTGGGAGAAAATGAGAATTGAATGGTGCCTTGGATATGGAGAATGATCCGAGAAAGGCTTTCTCGTTGGATATTGTTTCCATGTTATCACTTCTGAAGTTGGAGCCATCAAATTTCGAACAGCAATAAAAATTAATGACAATGATGTTTGTGATTAATGTTTGTGATACCCAACAAACACTTTCTTTAATCATATCAAGTGCAAAAACGGGTTTTTAATGTACGCGTTCCTTAACTAAACAGACTCCATCATTGTTGCAAAATATGCAATATAAATGTGCATTTTACATGAAAATCCATTTATGTGTACTGACTGTCTAGCAATTTTCTTTGCCATGACTAGGACAACTAAAATTGCTTAAATTTACAAATTACTTCAAAAGTGCAAAAATTTATGAACGGCGCTTTTGAAGAATTTAAATTGCACAAACTTCTAGCAGTAGAAATTATCCTTTTCTATATGGATCACAAGAGAGATGATTATAGTGACTTTTGAAATTTACAAAATTATTCTAAAGAAGAATTAAAGAACAATTAAAGAATGGATTTCATTTTTTGTTAAACTTAAGTTATCAAAATTTAAAATAAGAAAAAACAAGATGTGTTTGTGAAACACGAAGCACCCAGCGGCAACAAAATTCGAAAAAGCTATTTTTTGCATACAGGTCACATTCAAGGTCTCAAGGTAATTGACCTTGGTGTCATTTGGAAGAGGTGAATTAGTGGAGTATGCATACCAAATATGAAATCTCTATCTTCCATGGTTAAAAGTTGTGGCGTTAGTTCAAAAAAGCTTTTTTTCAACATATAGTTCACAAGAAAGGGCACAAGGTCATTGACCTTTGTGTCATTTGGAAGAACTGAATTAGTGGAGTAAACATACCAAATATGAAGTTCTATCTCCTATGG